GAATGGAATATCATAAACTAAACAATAAATTAAGGCCCTTTAGTTTCCATTCAGGTCGTAGACTACCTATAAACAAACACCAATAAAAACAGATCCCTTCCTTAAAATAGCATTGGGTACGTAAAGGCGCAATAATCTCGCTGGAACGTAGGCGAATTTCTTTAAGCAACCCCACAACAATCACTCGGACCACATAATTCGGAAACGAGCACATAAAGGGGAAAGGTCCACCCCGGCCTAGGTAATCAAACTCTGTTAAGAAGAAGGAAAAATGCACCCAAATAGCTCAAAATGTGGAAATTCTTCACAACAGAAATTATAAGTAGCCCTTCAAATTTGGACTTAATGTACAAAATGAGTTTTTTAAAGTGTTACAGGGCGATTTATGATATTTTGGTGACTTAGGGGGGGGGGGGCTAACGTATTTTTTATTTTTTTTTCTCAATTTTAAGGTTGGTCGGTGACTTTGACGTGGGGTCGGAAGAAGTAGTAGAAAAGAATGTTTTAAATAGCAGAGAAAACGTTTAGCCTGACTTTTTGGTTAGCCATTGTTGCATCCCCAAACTAGAATTTGTTCCTTTAGTGATTTATGCTTAGCACACCGTGTATATCACTATTTCGCCTGTTCCTGTATATATTCCCACTTCTTATGTGCGGCGAAGTTAAGATTAGCCTATACATTTATGCTTATTCGTCGAACAACAATCAAAGAAGAATACAAGATGTCGTCGTACAACCATAATAATGAAGGTGTCTGTTAAAAAGCAGCATGCCATTTTCGTCGAACTTATTTGTACAACACTCTGAAAGGTTTCGTCGATAGCTTCACCTTCGCCAAACCTGAACCACCACCTTCGTTGTTTAACCAGCCAGAAATGTACGTTATCGCTACCGCAAAAATCAACCAACGCCAGCCGTCATCGTCTATTGCCTTCGTTTGTTTATCGAAACTACTTCGAAAGAACATAATATAAGTAACTCCTTTCATTCATGTTGCTTTCATATACAAAATTTATTTAAAGTTCTCTGAAATCATAACAAAAGTAAAATTCAAAGGTGAAAGTAAAGTGCCTACCCTCATCAAACCTGCTTGACTTATATTCGATGAAATGCGGTCTTCAGGCGAATTTATTTGGGTAGACCCACGACGTGAAATACAATCCGAGAACACCTCAAACCTCGTTAGCTCTCTACTTAAAGCTCTACCAGAACACATCTGGATCCCGGTACAATAAAAAAATCTCAAATTTGACTTTAAATTTCCGATTTTAAAGCAAACAATGGCCACGTTCCAATTCTATAAATTCCAAAAGGATCACTAACACAAATATTAAAGACACCTGAAGTGAACTTTGGGTGCGGATCAACAACATTAATCATAATCAAGCATGAGACATATATCTGGATCGTTAAAGGGATCGAATAAACCCACGATTTGCACGATTTCACAAAAACAAAATCTATTCTACTCGTACATACACAAATTGAAGTGAACATAAAATTCTCATTTTCAAAATTGAACTACAATCGCGTCCGTTAAAACATACGCGTTCGAAATCAATAAACAAAATCAAGAAATCTTATAACTACTTACAGTTTTCTGTTACGAATCCCAACAACGAAATCCGGGCTCACAGAAACCTATAATAAAATTACGAAAGAAAACAACGCATTGAACCAAAATGTGACGCTCTTCTGAAATTCTCTCCAACACCGGTTGCAGAAACGTTGATTTTATTCAAATTTGAATTAACTGGATGAACACATAAACACACGAGCGATGAAGCGAATGACTGTCCGTTTACACATGACTTTACCTTGAACTTGGCTGAAGACGTACCGAATTCTATTTGACAAACAACAAGATTGTTTACACGACGAAATGCAAAACTTTGCTACCAAACCTTAACGTAGAGACGTCCGTCTTCTAAATTTCAAAAGCGAAAGCAAAAGCCTTTTTTAACGAACCGCACCTCGGCCTCGAAATTGGCAAAAGATCACCTTCCAACGCTAACTCCAGTATTTAACATGCCTTCCCTCCTTGAACAGATCAAAATTCGTCATCCAATTACCTGAGCCTGGGAACGCGACAAACCAATCGACATTTCGCTCGGGGCGCTTTATTAAGTCACGTAGACAGATTTGACGCAGAATGATGTTATCTAAAATATACAATTTTCTACAAAAACAAACAATTTTTTCCGATTAAAATGCATCCTTATCTGTAGATAATTACACATCAACCTTTTATAAAAATAAACGCAGTGACCAATATATCCAATCTGAACTGTCACATAGATGATTCAAGAATACAAAAAATGAGAGATAAAATTTCTCTATACTTAACAATTCTAGGAAATAATCTTTTTACAACGAAGCAAACAAATAACTTGGATACAAGCTATGATGCGCAATCATAGTTTTGTTTTCATCCGTAAAGAACCCCACCAGATTAATTAAATGAATTGAAGTGAACATTCGATTCGTAATTAACGACCGGTATTTAATTCAGATGATTGGACCCAAAAGAACAACGTCCACATCAGTATTGTCTATTGTTTATTTAAAAGCGTTTTTGCGATATCGCCTTGTAACACTTTCAAAAACTCACACTGTATAATCAAAGTAGTCGCTTCAACCAGCTCTTCAGGCTATAATCCTTCAGTAGTTATTATTTTTCAGTTTATCTAAAACAATTCGATTTTCGATGAATTTTAGAGGCAAGACTAGGGTCTGCTTTATTTTGTTGTGTTAATTGTCACTTATCAGTTAGTACGTAATGATTTTCATAACCCTTCTTTGGGCCCTTTTTTAAGAGAAAATTTGACACAGTAACCGGAAATTAGGTGGTAGAGAGGATCCAGACTAGCACTTTTCCCAAATAACCCGAGGATTAAGTGTATTTCGTTTGAGAACCACCTTCAAAAAAGTGCTGAAACCATAATATAAGAGTTAGAAAGATTGGTGGCAGGTCTTTGTGTGGGTTTTGGGGTATGCTCTTTTCGATTTTGCAAAAGAATCATCAAAATTCCTGCCACAAAAGGGCGCACTTCTAAATGGGGGTGCGACAAAAATTCTGATTTCGACGAAATTTGGTATCTGCGGGTTTTTCCACATGAAAATCAGAAATCTGTGGCCGGACAACAAAAATGGAGAGAACTCCACGAAATGTGTTGTGTACATTCTTAGATGAGTTAAAGAACAGAATTTTCGAACAGTTTTTAGATATCACTTTTGAAACAAAAGTTATACTCATTTTACAATTGGTCCTTCGGATCAGAGAGGGTCCCATGCTCTACTCTACTAGTCGCCTAATTTGGTGTGTAGTTGAAAAATGTAACGATTTAAGTCGCATATAGCTCTGCTCTTGCAGATGAAAACGTGAACAGTACCTAGACATGTTAAAGTCGATTATCACAAACAGAACCGCATCCCTACTAAACAGAAAAAAGGTAATTAGAAGGCTCCTCCTCTCGTATTGCTAAGACACACAGCTGCAGGACATATAATATAATTTTACGCAGAGGTTCTAACCTAAACCGAAAAGAACCGGTACTGAAACCGGCACCGATTGCATTTAAAAGAAGACATGATAACCGAAACCGATACCGGTAGTCTCGGAGGTACTGACTTATTATTAATGCCAAAGAACCGGTATTTTTCGAATATCTCTCGCTTGTAGGTAGACTAAACACGCTACGCCATGTGACTTGTGAAAGGGAAATCCGTGTTATATGGTTGGTGTCTTTTCTTAGATTCACAATTAGTTATTACTGATGGGTATTATTCCACATATACACAAAGAACAGATTGCATTTCATGGGTCCTAATGCATTGAAATTGTGTCGCCCATGAAATGCACTGCGTTAGCAATCTGTCCTTTGTGTATATCTGGGATAATACTCCGTAACAACTGTAGTGTACTTAATCCCCAGGTCCTACGCTAACTTCACACAACGAGAACACGGAAATAAAGTCAACCCGGCAACGTTTATAAATAGCCACCCGAATGACTATTCCCTCCAAAATTAAACAAGATCCTGCTTAAATTTGAAAAGTGGCACGTGACGGGCAGGGCGCCCTTACGTTAGTTGTCAACAACGCTTTGACCTGAAGTACACTAGGAAAGTAACGTAAAATAAAACACTGAAATTGTGAAAAGTTTGTTTAATAATGATCGTTATTATTAAGATTGTGAAATCCCTGATATTTAGTTGATGTACATTAATATAAGCAAAGCAAGCAAAGCTAAAAGGTGTCGTATTTTCGCCAAAAGTAACTACCAAGGGTAAAAAGAGTACGACGGAGAAAAACCTTGCAGTTGGATTAATACAAATAATTTGTGCTAATCATCTACTATCAAGTGCAGTGGTTAACAAAGATAGTAAATGAACATTGCGAAACCCAACACACCACCAGCCCACCATCAATCCCGCGTCATTGGAATCTATAGTAACCCACGCTGACTTTCTTCCCAAGCTGCAAATCCAAAAAATCCATGTTCCCCGGCATCTGCGCAGAACGGACGAAATTGAAGACTTTTCACGATTTTTGTATAGGTATAGACTACCCAGTGTTTCGAATTTTTTCCCATTTATGATGTTAGGTGTGTTACCTAACCGTAGGGGAATGTCACGTGTATACAAAGTATAAATATTTAAAATGTATTTTTCGAAATACATCAAGAGTCTAGAACGGTTTTTTGAAAGTTGCATCTAAGTACAAAACTCCCAAAATTTGTGTTTCTTTTTTAATGTTTTCTCAGAATCCGAAACAAGTGGATGGTTTTACTTTTACTAGACATTCAGATATTCCAAATTTCGTTGAACTTAGAATTTTTTACGGATATGTCCGTTATCTTGGGGTGGAAATTTTGGAAAAATGTTTACAAAACGTACCCTAAAACTCTGCAGTTGAAAACAAGCAAATTTTTTGGCTAGCTCTACTCCTTACGTTGTATATAAAATTCCTTGTATTAATAGAGCAACAACTATCTAAAATTTGCTCTTAATAAAACTTTTATTTATAATTACAATCTTTATACCTACATTCCTTTTCTAACAATAATTATCTTATGAACTAATCCTGAATAGAGATCTTAAGCAGTTGTTCTGAAATTATATGCATTTTTACTCAGATGCAGATTAGTTCTAAAAGTCAAGATTCATTGGTGACGCCAGTACCGTTGCGTTATACACTTCCGTTACTTACACATGCTAAGCATGAAGGCCCTGACAGACAGAGCACGGTCTGCGATATTTGTACTCTACGTAAATCTAGTGTACCTGTAATATAGAGAGCGTTCTGACAAGACTGCGCAGTCTATCAAAGCAATTGTAATATTTTACAAAGACACCCATTTACCGCTCTGATAGAATATGCAGTCCGCCACGTGGTTAGAATGCTTTCTCTATGACAGGTACCTACAAAGCATTTACATAGAATACAGATATGACAGACCGCAACCTGCCCTCTGTCTGGCAGCACTTTAAGCGGTAGGCAAGTTAAAATTAGTCACTGGAACTCGACTGCGAATGTTTTTTCTTCTTCTTTGCCTTTTTAGTCTTCTTCTTCTTATGTTTCCGGTGCCGATCTTCACTATCACTGCCATCACTTTCGTGCGAACTCGATTCCGACGAGGAGCGATGCCGTTTTCGTTTCTTCTTCTTTTCCTTCTTCTTTTGCTTCTGCTTGACTTTCTTCAGCTTTTCTTTTAGTTCTATTTCCCTTAATTCGGTTAAGGGCGTAAGATAATCCTGATCGCTTTCGCTGCTCGTGCTGCTTACGTCCAACAAAATTTCCTTGTTCGGATCCACCTTGATAAAATTTCTACACTGGTATGTCAGGTGACCCGCGTAACCGCATTTTTTACATGCGGGGCGCACGCTTTCTTTTCCAGGAGGCAGAAGTCGTGAACCATATTCTGGATTCATTCTTGGAAAAGAAAATATAACCTAAAAATATTTTGACAGCTTTGACATACACATGTGAAGCTAGCAACGAATATTGTAATGTAAGCGTTCTATCATGTATACCACAGGGTGCTACAAAATATCAGATTCTAAAGGTAAGTTCATTGCTCTCCGTTCATACGTTTCCGTTAGCCAATCAGAAGACAGCAAATTTTTAAATCGTACGTCGTCTGTTTACGACGGAAAAGTTGGTTGAAGTTGAACATTTACGTTTCCGTTGGTCCGTTTTTAACAAGAGTGAGGTTATGTTTGGTACGTTAACAGTGTTCGCCTCTTCGTTTCTTCACGGTAATAATCAGAGAGCAACGTGTTCTTACTTTCGTACCATTTTTAGATACTGAAAATCACGGAAGGTGCAGTACAAAATAAAATTTAGGTTATGGTTATACGTTGCAAATGTACAATGTGGACGGATTGCTATGAACCTTAACAAAATGTATTATCCGTTTGACGGATCAACGCAACGGATAAACGGAGAGCTATGAACCCACCTTTACACCTAATAAAATACAATCACACTATGGGAGAAAGAATATCTTTGTATAAACCAATTTTAAGAAGGAAACGCGCTAAGGCAGAATAGTTTGCTAAAGGAAGTGATTGAAGAAGCCGTGGAGGGTACAACGAAAAGAGGCAGATGGTAGGCAACCTGAAAAAGAGGATGCACAGATGTGACAATAAAGACAATGGATTGAGAAGGGTGGAGCAACCATCGACATATAATAAATGGACTGCGCGTGCAATGCTAAGCACGGATACTGCAGGTAGAGAGAAGGGAAAACTAAGAGAGCAAGCTCTCTCTTATGGTTACGCATCTGATTGGTTCTATCAACAGAAACCATGGCGATCTCATTCAAATTAAATTGAAAGAACCAATCAGATGCATAACCGTAAGACATAGCTTTTTTGCTTCTGTCTCACCTGCAGTATCCGTAGTACCTATAGTAGCATAGTATATTGACTATAGATACCTACGTATGATATATTACAGAAATATTCCATATCGCCTCGGGATGTAATCTTGCGTGCTCAGGCACTAGACGTCTCTACCTTGGCATATAATGTACTATTTGACAGTGGTTACATGTTGTTATGTATGCAAGCCCTGAAAATTGGGCCATAAAGAGCAATTTTATGGAGAAGTGAATATTTATGTTCTAAAAGGACATACATTTATTTCTTTACAATAATCATTGATATGTAGTTTCAATTGTTTACAGCCCTCTACAGTTCACTTTTTTTTGCTACCAATACCATCAGTTTTGTTATTGTGGAATTAATTGTAGTGCCTGAGGTATAAAATTATATGGTACCTACAATAAAAGAGCCATGGTGTAATAATAATACATTGTTGTGTAGTGTAGATCGATTATATAGAAGATCGACGCCTAATGTATTCCAAAAGGTGTTGCTCAAAGCCCAATCTATAATTATTTACTTTACAATCACAATTTAGCACATTGAAAAACTTTAGACTCCGTTATGTTTTAAAAGATGTTGTTTGAAGAGGTGTTTATAATTTGTCCCATAATCACAATCAGCACATTTAAAATCCTTAGACACTTTATGTGTTAAAAGATGTTGTTTAAAGTTGCTTTTATAATTTGTCTCATAATTACAATTACCGCATTTAAAATCCTTAGAAGCTTTATGTCTTAAAAGATGTTGCTTGAAGTATCGTTTAACATTGGTCCTATAATCACAAATAGCACATATAAAATCCTTAGACACTTTATGTGTTAAAAGATATGTTGTTTAAAGTGGTGTTTATAATTTGTCTCATAATCACAATCAGCACATTTAAAATCTTTAAAAAGGGAAACTTTATGTGTTAAAAGATGCTGTTTGAGGTTGCTTTTATAATTTGTCCTATAATCACAATCAGCACATTTCAAATCCTTAGAAAAAGAAACTTTATGTATTAAAATATGTTGTTTGAAGTTGATTTTATAATTTGTCTCATAATTACAATTAGCGCATTTAAAATCCTTAGAAGCTTTATGTCTTAAAAGATGTTGCTTGAAGTATGGTTTAACATTGGTCCCATAATCGCAAGTAGCACATTTAAAATCCTTAGACACTTTATGTGTTAGAAGATGTTGTTTAAAGTGGTGTTTATAATTTGTCTCATAATCTTTAAAATCCTTAAAAGGGGAAACTTTATGTTTTAAAAGATGTTGTTTGAAGTTGCTTTTATAATTTATCTTATAATCACAATCAGCACATTTCAAGTCCTTAGAAAAAGAAACTTGTGTTAAAATATGTTGTTTGAAGTTGCTTTTATAATGAATCACAATTAGCACATTTAAAATCCTTAGAAACTTTATGTGTTAAAAGATGTTGTTTAAAGTTGCTTTTATACTTTGTCTCATAATCACAATTGGCACATTTAAAATCCTTAGAAACTTTATGTGTTAAAACATGTTGTTTAAAGTTGCTTTTATAATTTGTCTCATAATTACAATTACCGCATTTAAAATCCTTAGAAGCTTTATGTCTTAAAAGATGTTGCTTGAAGTAGCGTTTAACATTGGTCCCATAATCACAAGTAGTACATTTAAAACCTTTGGAAACTTTATGTTTTAGAAGATGTTGTTTGAACAGGTGTAGATTATTTGTCCCATAATCACAAGTAGCACATGTAAATTCCTTAGAAACTTTATGTGTTGAAAGATGTTGTTTGAAGTTGCTTTTATAATTTGTCTCATAATCGCAATTAGCACATTTAAAATCCTTAGAAAGAGAAACCCTATGTTTGACTCGATGTTTTAAAAAATGTTTCTTAAGATCGGATTTAAAATTTGTCTTATAATGACAATTAGCACATTTAAAATCCTTAGAAACTTTATGTGTTAAAAGATGTTGTTTGAAGTTGTTTTTATAATTTGTGTTATAATCACAATCAGCACATTTGAAATCCTTCAAAATTTTGTGTATTAAAAGATGTCTTTTGAAGTTGAATTTAACATTAGTCTCATAATCACAAGTGGCACATTTAAGATCCTTCGAAGCTTTATGTGTCAAAAGGTGTTGGCTAAAGTTATATTTATTGTTTGTTTTATAATCACAATCACCACATTTAAAATCCTTAGAAACTGTAGTATGTACAAAGAGATGTCGTTTGAATCTGCTTTTAACATTGGTCCCATAATCACAATCAGCACATTTAAAATCCTGAGACACTGTTTTACACCGGTCAGAGGATTGATGTACTTCTTCATTATATAGAGATTTAGAATCTCGTCTAGAACACTGTGCACCAATGGTGATTTCGTCTTTTATTGTAACGAAACCTTCGTTGCTCACCAAAATGTTTCCCTCAAAAGAGGAATGGATTTCTTCTTCCTGTTTCGGTTCGATTTTAACAAGTGCAAGTGTGTCTTCATTTCGGTCCATACCTAAGAACAATCATGTAGTGTTCTATTATTTTGGTACAGCATTTGAATTTATAGTTTATACAGAGAACATATGTTACTAGGCGAGTACCTTTGAGCCAATGGCCAATTTACACTTGCCTTGCCAAGTGCGCTTAAATGTACCTACCTACTAAAATGTAATTTAAAAAAAGTAACATCTGGTAGTCCTCACATCTTGGACTAATTATGTTGTAATTCTTTCAAAGGTAATTCCAAGGGTAGGTAATAAAATAGAATCTATGCTCAGTGGAATTTGTACATGTGTTAACTTCAGAAAAATATAGGTTACTTTTGAACTTTCCTCTTATATTTAAAAATTTTAATATAAAATTGTAAAAGAAAATGTAAAGAAAAGGTACTTACCTAAAATATAAGAAACGCCATGTAATAGACCTTAGTAATAGACAGATACCAAGCACATTAACGTCCTTGATACTCTCAAATGCAATGTTGTCAAATCTAATAGTGCAATTTTATTGGAGAAGGAAAGAGAGAGAGAGAGAAGCGAAATTAATTTTGTTTGAGCACCCAAAACATTTATTCTAATCAGCACGACAGATTTAACAAAAAAAATAAATATCTTTTAATTTGACGGAACAACATTATTTATTTATTTACGGATCCCTATAAGCATTTGGGTTGACCGACTTCTTCCAGATATTCTGGACTTCTGTTAAACTTTTTCTTGTTTCTGTTTGTGTGTTATTTTGTTTATCTGAGTTTTATTTTACCAAAAATTAAAAAAGGGATTCTGCCATTAGAGGTTTTCTAAAATTATGTCCATTTAATTCTTTACAATTGATATGTAGTTTCAATTGTTTACAGCCCTCTGCAGTTTCTACCCAAGGCATTTTTGTTATTGTGGAATTGATTGTAGTATAAATTATGGTACAATCAAAGACTATGGACATAGTCTTTTGGTACAATAAAAGAACGGTGGTGTAATAATAATAACAATAAATCGTTAGTCTAACGTAGTGTAATTGTTAAACTTGTTTCTTTCAATCAGATAAGCTGAAGAGCACCTGTGATTTGAAGATAACACCTAAAGAGGTGTTGCCCAAAGCAACTTCATAATCTCAATTAGCACATTAGAAATCTTTATAGACTCCTGTATGTTTCAGAAGATGTTGTTTGAAGAGGTGTTTATAATTTGTCCCATAATCACAAATAGCACATTTGAAATCCTTCGAAACTTTATGTTTTAAAAGATGTCGTTTGAAATAACGTTTAATATTGGTCCCATAATCACAAGTAGCACATTTAAAACCTTTGGAAACTTTATGTTTTAAAAGATGTTGTTTATAGAGTTGCATATTATTTATGCCATAATCACAAGTAGAACATTTAAAAACCTTAGAAACTTTATGTGTTAAAAGATGTTGCTTAAAGGTGCTTTTATAATTTGTTTCATAACCACAATTAGCACATTTAAAATCCTTTGAAGCTGTATGTATTAAAAGGTGTCGTTTGAAGATGTGTTTAATATTTGTCTCATAATGACAAGTAGCACATTTAAAATCCTTGGAAAGTTTATGTGCCGAAAGATGTTGTTTAAAGTTGCTTTTATAATTAGTCTCATAATCACAATCAGCACATTTAAACTCCTTAGAAACTGTATGTATTAAAAGGTGGCGTAAGAAGACATGTTTAATATTTGTCCCATAACCACAAGTAGCACATTTAAAATCCTTAGAAACTTTATGTTTTAAAAGATGTTGTTTGTAGTTGCCCTTAAGATTTGTGCCATAATCACATTCAGCACATTTGAAATCCTTGGAAACTTTATGTTTTAATAGATGCTGTTTGTAGTTGGATTTAACATTTGTACCATAATTACAAGCAGCACAATTAAAATCTTTAGAACCATTATGGTTTAAAAGGTGCAGATTAAGTTGGCTTTTAGTATCTGCTTCATAATCACAATTGGCGCATTTAAATTCTTTGGAAACTTTATGTTTTAAAAGTAAATGTCGTTTGAAGTTACACTTAATATTTGTGCCATAATCACAATCAGCACAATTAAAATCTTTAGAACCATTGTGACTTAAAAGGTGTCGTTTGAGATCGGTTGTAGTATTTGTCTGATAATCACAATCAACATATTTAAAATCTTTAGACACTGTTTTACACGGAGTTAAAGGGTGATGTTGAAAGTCATTCAAAGGAGATTTAGAACACTGTGGACGAATGGCAATTTCGTCTTTTATTGTAACGAAAGCTTCGTTGCTCACCAAAGTGTTTTCCTGAAGAAAAGAATTGATTTCTTCCTCCTGTTTTGGTTCGATTTTAACAAATGGTGTACCATCATCTCCCTCCATACCTGAGAACAATTGTTATGGAGAAATGGGTTACACTTTTACAATTCTATTTATATGGTATATCTAAAATCTATTTTGGTACAGCACTGTAGTATAGTACCATTCGAGGTACCATTGAACTAAAAATAAAATTTCTGTGATAGTACCCTGGGCACATAACGTTACCTTGGGCCAAAGCCAACAGCCGCCACGCACGTATAATCACGTATAATTCTCATATGTCTATGCTTACTTTCATATCGATGGTCTATAGTTAGCAAATGCAATGTTGTCAAATCGCATAGAACTGTTTGTTTATATCCAGAAATCCTAGAAATGTCCAAACACCAACATCTTCCTTTTCCTTTAGAATGACTACTGCACTTTACTCATACTTAACGTGTACTAGCAATATTTAAGTACTCAAAGTAATATTTGCTAAAGTGACGCATGCGCATTAGTGTTATATAGAACGCGCCAAATACTAACAGTTAAGTAAGAACACTATGAATTTTACCCTTGATAAGGATGAGACCGCACTGCAGTGGAGCGAGGCGACACGATTCAGACAAATGTGTAATTTAATTTGCACGAGATATCCCACACTATGCTGCGCGACACGGCACTACACAGACTACAGTACAAGGTTGAATTAAACCTTATGACTGTTGAACATAAATATTGCAGTGTCGCACCACAGCAGTTCAAATACGATATGCATATAAAGGTATCGTAGCGTCGCGTCGCTCTGTTGCAGGACAGATCCGTGTAGTGCGGTCTTAATTTTTAAACTAAATTAGCTGTCTCAAAAGTATTGAACTAGATACTAGTAACTTCGCATAGCCCGTAAACAAATGCTGCAAGGGCCCGTGACGAGAAAGATGGGTAGAGGCAGGAATACCTCATCGTGTTTCACTCACGAGGGTGGGGATACACCTACCACAGCCTACGTTATTCGGCACGCGATTTTGGTTATCGATGCGGTTCTGTATACAGTTCAATGCTCAAAAGTTACAGTACTTACATTTTTTAAGTGCGCGTAGCATCCGTTTGACAATTTTGTCAGCGTGGAATTATCACTTACAACTGCACAAGAAGTTTGTACTTTACCGAGTAAATTTGGGTTGATTAGGTAATGAAAATCTCTTACCTACTAATTAGACGAGAAAAACTGTCAACTAATAAAAATGCGACATAATCAAAGATATGCATGATGTAGCACAAACTCGATGCGATATACGGACGCTGATCTTAACAACCAATCAAGGATTAGGTACTCTATTGGTGCCACTGCATTCGAAAAGTGGAAAGTGATCAAATATTACGTTAATTGTAAACTGCTATGAATTAAGTACGGTTGGGAAGGAATTGCGGCGAAGTTTCAGCTCCACCCTGTACAGAATCTTGCCTGTTACTAAAATGTCAATTGTCAAATATCAAAAATTAATTGCTAGGTTAGATAAATTGCCCTACTATTAATAATAAATAAATTATTAACAAAAAATAAAGGATATCTCTTATACCATCTCCAAGTAAGTGCATAATGGCCCTTTCCATCTTTTACATTAAAATTAACAATTTTTAGATTTTCCTTCTGTCAGCTGTGGTCTCTTACATAACAACAATACTCCAGGTAATTCAAATTACATTGTGATAGATGTATTACTTCTTACACTTATTAGGCGAATGATTTGGAGAGTATTTAAGCAGTATTCCGTTGTAATCCTTCTTCCTACTGTTGTAGCCACCTCAATTTACGCAGATTATACGCATACGCAAGAGTGGAAACGTAGAGTTACAAATGGGACAAGTTAAAATTAATTATATATGGACAATCTTGCCGGTTATCGGTTTTGGAATTGGATGGTTTTTGGATAAAAAAGAAACCGACAGGATGACATTGTTTAGGGATAAGAGTGCGTTGTACGGTCATCCACCGGGCACTTTAAGTGCACCTTCTTGGCCTTAATCGCTTACGTTCATTGTTAGTAGTTGTACACTTGTTTATAAAATAAAAGCCATAGTTTTACGATTTATTGCAAAAAAATGAAGTATAAAAATATAAATTGATATGGCAAAGTAGTTAACATGAATGTATGTGTAACCTTCCTCCTATTAAAAATACAAGAGCGCTTATACTAATTGAATGATCAACTTAAATTTTTTTTCTTCAAAATGTTGCTTAAAACCTGTCCAGTTTCACTAAGTAACATATTAAATATTTCCTTCGTTAGTTCATCCTTAACGATCAATTCGTCTCTGTCATAATTCGTCCATTCCGCTTCTTCGCTTTGGCATTCGATTACTAGTAGTTCGTCGACATGGTCGCGCTTTTTCCCACTCCATTTGTGCTTTTTACTCTCGACTGCCTTCACAGTCTCAAACCCAAACATTTGCTTAATCTTCCTTTTTATTAATTTGTCCAAGCCACTTTGATCCAGTGGTTTCCCAATGGCAAGCTTTGTTCGTTTCTGAAGGTGCATCCAGGAAGGACCCGTTTCCGGTTCAAACTGTTTGTAATGGTCAATTGCGGTTTCCTTTGATAAATCAAAGACGAATTGGAAACAGTGAGCGCTTACGTTGTGTTTGAGATCGAGTATCTTTTTCGCGTTGTCCGATAAGGTGATATTGCGTATATTGTTCTCCTTAAAAGCTTTATGTAAGATTTCCGATGTTGCTTTGGTGATTACGTCTATTTGCGCTTCCCCAATTGGTAGAATACTGTCCTTGATGTTTGTCTGCTGCTTGGTTACTGGTGGCGTATATGGAGGGGGTGGTTTATTTGGAATTTCTCTGACGTATAGATAGGGCAGGTGCTCTTTTTGTTGCTGTTGAATTTCTTTTATCTATAACAAATTCAAGCTGCATTAAGAGTTCACTACTCAAAAGTATCTCCCAACAAAACAATTTTTTTCAGAAAGAGGGTTCTTAAAGGTCCTATTTTTGTATTTTACACATAGGTATATTTAACATAAGGTAATTCAGCAGACTTATACCATGTCGCGGTCACAAATGGGCCTGCAACTTTCATTAGGGTATAGGGTGTCATTCTAGAGATCACAACTACATCAGATTTCCTTGGGGATTAGAAAAAAGAAGACTTAAAATGGAAAAATAAAAATTATTTAACAAAGATATCATGTAACGGGTGGTCACTTTGCAGTTTAAAAGGGTATTTTTTCGAATGCGTATTTGATTCTACATAGTTACACATATACCGCTTCATAGCGAACATGAATGAATGTATGTCTAGAGATAAGAGCGATAAATGCTACTTCCAAAGATGAAATAAAAAAAACCTTTGAGAAAAAAGGAACTGTTTATGTGTCGGCTGTATATTCTATTATTTTTTGTTTTCTTGACAGCTCCCTAATGCCTACTACCCAAGTGTGCAACAGCAAGGGTGACTACTACTAGATTATCATTGTTTGCACTCGTCCAATTCTTCCTCCCATGTGAATTCTGGGATTCGTACATTTCTGTGTGAAGTATCAGATGTTCATCTCCAAAAATTCTTTCCATAACATCTACATATTCTGATTCCTGTGATCTTTTTCAATTCCTGCAACCAGACTTTCCATTTTTCATTAGCTTGCAATGTTAAATCTAAATCATCATCCCAGCATATTTCCGGCTTCCATGTTAACGAAGATTAGCTTTCCTTTAACTAAAAAACCTGAAGGGGTCGAAAACGCTCATTATTATCGCTAATGCTTCTCTTTTAGTCGGTAAGCGCGTGCCGTCCAGGATGTCCTTTTGCATCTTGTCAAAATTGCTCTTTCTCCCTCCCAAAAAAGACATAAGATCCGTTTGATTGCACCGTGATTAGTTTGTCCTTGAACTTGACCACCAAGTCTTCAGTTGTTTATTTTTTTACCTATGATCTTCGGGTATTCGCCCAATTACCTCCTTACAATCTGATTTCGAAACCACAAAGATAAAATCCTCCTTTTTGTAGGATAGAGAATACTTGAATATACCTTGGGATGGCTTCCTTCGTTTTAACACAATCTAGTTAATCATCCACATAGAATTTGTTTAATATACTATGTACGGTTATTGACAAAAGTAATGATCGCCTAATAGGTAAAATCTGCAGTATAAACTGTTGATGGTATTAAATTGAATAAGAACTGCTATTAAACATCAATATGAACAACGTTTTTTATTGTATCAGTTTCTAATGACAAACTCTAACTTATTTATATAGCAACAAACTACTACCTTAGATCAAACATAAATGAATTATTTAGTTTAAAGATTTTAGTACAACATAAACAACCAACATGCCTATCACATCAGGCTCCGTCGGTTTCTTCCAGGTAGAGATACTGGAATTGGTTGTGTATGCTGGATGCGATCATTACTTTTGTCAATGACTGTACGTACAGTTTCTGGATATTGTTCCCTAAACTATTCTGCGTTTCTATTCATAATATATTGAGAACAGCGAGGGCTACATACCTACTGTTCCAAACATCATCACATATTGGCAGTTATAGCTGTCTGAATTTCATGAGTATTTCTGGTTGAGGTTTCAAAAAATCAGGTCCTGTCAATATTTCGGAATATGGACTTGAGCCATGTGCTCTTGCTGCAGCGTTAAAAATCGAACCAAGTTCCTGTTTTTCGGATTCACCGTTCCAAAGTGAGGTTAAGTATTCCTTTCTTCATTTCATCAGAAGGTATCTTTTTTACCACCCATGCATTAGGGTAAAAAATGACCCACTACTTTTTTGACGGAAATACACGTTTTGAACCACCAGGAATTCAAATCAAACAAAATCTTGAGACATGAATGAAAAATCTTTCTTGGAGCACTTTTTTAATGTAGAATCCATTTTGATACACAGTTATTACACAGGGTGTTTGGTTTTTCTTATACGACCCTCAACTATATTTTTTCATATGGACCACCCTACATATTTTGGAGTTTTTCCTAAATTTTGATGTATCACTTATTATATTTATATTAAATATTATTTGCAATATTGCATTTCATACATTAAAATGTTTTTATTGTAGGCATCTAGGTTCCCATGACGAACAAAAGATGGCAGAATTGTTTAACAGCAATTTCTTGGTTACCTGTATTCTTTTACTTTAATTATATACCATAATATTATTTACTTATTATTTACATGTTTTCAAGTTCTTGTTTTTTGAAATTAAAAATATTTGGAAACTAATAAACATTTCCAAATAATCAAAAAATTGTCTTTTTACACAATCCTGCCATCTTTTGTTCGCCATGGAAACTTAGATGCCTACAATAAAAACATTATAATGTAAAAATGTAATATTGGACATAATATTTAATAGAAATATATTAGGGAATTTTATGCTCTTTTCAAAAACTGCAAAATATATAGGGTGGTCCATATGAAAACATATAATTTAGTGACGTATAAAAAAAACCAAACACCCTGTATAAAAACTGTATACCTATCGCAATGGATTCTACATACAAAAGTGCTCTAAGAAAGATTAGTTCTGGGGATATGGGGGTTAGTTAAGAAAATCGACTGAATTCGAGAAGCGGCCTCTAGCAGCCAAACTATTAGTGATAGTTGAATTCTTTTTGCGCGAGTGATTTTCTCTTTAAAATTGGGCTCAAGTCACCTAGGTCCATTTTTTCCAATCTCTTAAAATAAAGGGTGTTTTCATAAGAAAGACTGTTCCTCGGCCATTTCTCTAGTTCTAAAAATGACCACCAGAGGGCGTAACTGCCATCTTAAATTTTAAAATTGCATTTTCTTTAAATTTCGCATAATAAACCAAACATTCTTTTTTCACATTTTTAAAGAGAAGCAGTTTATCTATCTTTTTCGTAAAAACTAAAACTCAGTTATTACACAAACAAGGATGGTGTGGGGCGTTCAATTGTTTTTGCAATAACCTGCTTTAACTTCTTAACCGTTTGACCGATTGTAACAAATTTAGTATCGTCGAAAAGAGCATTCCTTGGACAACAAGAATCAACCAATAGTTAATGTAGTTGAATCCTTCTCCGCCAGGGGGCTAGTTTTGACACTATGATCCAAAATCCTAAAAAAATCAAAAACATCAAATGGAATGATAAGACTTTTTCATTATGAAAAAGTAGCCAAATAACACCCAAAGAGGCCAGTTAAACCGTTTTTCAAAACATCGTTCCTAACTTCAAATATTGGGAAAATGAGGATAATTAATTAATTAATAAAAAATGCTTAAATTGTGCTTATCTTATTTGACGTAAGATTGTTTGGAAAAGGACCCTACACGGTAGACCTTGGAAAATTAAACAAATGAAACATGATGCATTATAAAATAATAACAGCCGTAATTTGTAAATTATTCTGCTGTGTTTACATTCAGAAAGTGCAGTTTTTTGAATTTGTATATTAAATGCTTCTTGGTTAGAAATCGGCATTTTAGAAAAGATAACAAATTCAAAAAACTGCACTTTCTGAATGTAAACACAGCAAAATAATTAACAAATTACAGCTTTTGTTATTTTATAATGCATCGTGTTTCATTTGTTTAATTTTCCAAGGCCTACTTAAAAGTGTAGGGTGCTTTTCTTTCGCGCCATCGACAAATACCGGAAATACGTAAAAAGTAAATTTAAGATACAAGTTAAGCATTTTTATTAATTAATCTCATTTTCCCAATATTTGAGGTTAGGAACGAGATTTTGAAAAACGGTTTTCACTGGCCTCTTTGGATGTTATTTAGCTACTTTTTCATAAAGAAAAAGTCATATCATTCCGTTTGATTTTTTTAGGATTTTGAGTCATAGTGTCAAAACTTGCCCCCTGGCGGAGAAGGAATCAACTACATTAACTATATTTTGGTTGATTCTCATTGCCCAAGGAATACTCTTTTCAACCATACCAAATTTGTTAAAATCGGTCAAACGGTTAAGAAGTTAAAGCAGGTTATTGCAAAAACAATTGAACGCCCCACACCATCTTTGTTTTTGAAATTACTGAGTTTTTGTTTTTACGAGAATGATAGATAAACTGGTTCTCTTTAAAAATGTAAAAAAAGTTTTTTTAGTTTATTATGCGAAATTTAAAGACAATCCAATTTTAAAATGCAAGTAGGCAGTTACGCCCTCTGTTGGTCAACGGTTCTCGAGATATGGCCGAGGAACAGTCTTATTGGGTCACCCACAGACGTACAGGTGACAATATGAGTATGTGGCATGGGTGACAAAGGAGAAGCACGTTATTTTTAAAAAGCAACCAAATGCAATCCAAATAAGCACGTTAGGTTATTCCTCAATCAGTAAAATGATCAGCGGCGCTTTGGCCATGTCAAAGTTTTGGATAAGCTTTTTGATCACAATTGGTGTAATGGGTAAGACCCACTTCTAAAACTCGTGTCAAAATCTTCGACCATTGGTATATTCAGAAGAGAAATAGTCATTTGATCCCATTTATATACTGCTATTACTCTATGATACAGCTATGCAAGTACCTAATCAAATTCCTCTCAAATGAATGGGAGTGGATCAGAATATCGAAATAATAAAAAATAATAGTTACCTCCCGCTCAATTGCAATCTGTTTCTTGAGCAATTCTTCAACTTCATCCGTCACATTTTGAGTACCAAAAGACGACTGCGCATCTTCAGTGGGAGAAGCTGAAAACATTCAATGAGACTAACTCAACGTGAACTCACTTACTAACCGGAATTGGGAGAATTCTCCGCGGAAGCGACGTCATACGCGGTCACATAAAAGTCTTGCATTCTTGGACTTCGATCGCCTCTCGGACTTGAAATGTTGGCGTCGGAAAGTATTTCCAAGACCCGCTTTTTCACATCAATTTGCTTTTCATCAGCCACCTTCTCGGATATGCTCGCTTCCAGGTCACCTGAAGGAGTGTTGTCATCTGAAACACTCTGCTCTAGTTGACTAGTTTTGTCTTCTTTGCTCTCTAAGCTTAGGGCGAGTGAAGGGCTGGGAACCTCATTCGATTTTTGATCAGCTTTTGATTCCTCGGATATTGATTGTTCAGTTTCACTACTCGTGTCTTTATCTCTCTCCAAGCTTGGGATGTTTGACTTTTGCTCCAGAAGATCTCCGTCTTTGCTCACGTCAGTTTCATTTCCCTCCTCCTCTTCGGTTGACTTAACCTTCTCATCAAATTCACTGATGGATTCGATTGTATCAGATCGATTACCTTCTATAAAACCATAGCTAGATAGCAACAGACCTGCGGGTTTCACACTACTCTGACAGGTTTCTTCGTTTACAATCACCTCCTCTTCAACCTCCTCACTTTTACTAACCTCTGCATCTTCATAAGCTAAAGTATTACTTTTAGAATCAGTTGGCGATTTTGTTCTAGTGTCCTCAACAGATGCTGCATCTTCATCGACTTTAGGCAATTCAGAAACATCCACAGTTAATGGTGGTTTGCATGATGTTGAATCCTCAACTGTATTAGCCAAGCCCGAAACGTTGATGGCCGACGGCACTTTACTCTCCTGATCAAAAACTTGATCCTCTTCAATTTCACTAATCGAGTCAATGGTACGACTCGGCGAGACATTTTCACTCAAGTTCGACACGGAGAGGTCGCTAACTTTAGACTCGTCCTCGAGAGTCACCTTTACATCTAAATTTTTGAGCAAAATTTCGTTTACAATTTCATTACCTAAATCACAGATCTTTACTGAGCGGACCTCACCCGATAACCTCGTAATCGGCAACTTTGACTCACTTTCACTTTTATTGGTACGATGCGAATGGAAGCCGGTCCCTGTGCCTCGCTCCGTATTTATTTTCGAAGATATTAAATTACTCGATTCCACATTTGATGACACGAAGCCATTCTCTGAGATCCCGGTACCTCTTTGCGTATTTATTTTTGAAAACGGCTCCATAGTACTTGATACTTGACTAATATTAGATAAGTTTTGCTTTGGCTCACTAGATGTCTTCAACTCACCACTCGTGTTCGTGCTTTGAGTTTTTAGTTCCAGAAATCCATTAGACTCCACACTCGATTCTTCACTAACATTAGATAAGTTTTGATTTGGCTCACTAGATCTCTCCAACTCGCCGCTTGTGTTAGTAGGGTCTTCTGTAATTTCTTTGGAAGGAAGCGAATCACTTGGAGATTTGAGCTGTTCAATCGAGCCCAAATGAGTATGACTGGTTTCAAACTGCGCCTCATCCACATTGCGAGTGGGTTCATCTTCACTTGTTTCTAAAGCAGAGTGAGTCGAGGAAATAGAATTGTTAGCACAAGTTTCAGTCTTTCTGCTATGACTCAGAAGCTCAACGATGTTAGTATCAGACTTTGACTCTCGAAGAGGAGTTTTCCGCCTAGAAATTTCCGTTACAGTATTAATTTCATCAGACTCCGACGATTCGCCGATTTTTCCATTGCAACTTATGGCCACGGATTCAAAATCCGATAAGTATTCGGCACTGCGATTTTCATCAGCAAGAATGGACGACTGTCGCGATTCTGGTGTCCTCCTCTGTAACTTATCGTAGTGTTTGGCGTTTTTGCAGAATTTTTCCAGGGACGTCTGCGACATGTTGTAAACCTCGTCATCTTGGAATTTCTTCTCCTGTCGTCCGGTCATGCTCAACCATAATTGATTCAATTGGGATCCTTTGAATTTCTGCCTGGCGATTTTATTAAGATCAACGTCTTTTATTGGTGCAGCCTGATTGATAATGGAACTTGCGGCCATCTCGAGTTCGGATATCTTCTTTTCTTCTTCGAGGAGTCTCTGATGCCATTGTAGTATTTCTTCAGCCACCTTTCGCCGCTTCTGTAGTGCCGCCTCGCGCATCAACAGCGATCTAGTGGCGTAAATTAAGTTGTAACGTCAAATAATGTCGTACATGCATGTTTATTACTTACACTCTAATAAAATAGTTACAATGTTTACGGAGAGTGACACAAACGAGTGTTGTACTACTAATAACAACCTCCTACTGAATGAAGTGCTGACTAATTTTAAACATATATTTCCTTTCCATAGGAAGCTTCCTTTGAAAATACGTACTTTTGGAACGTTTCCAACAGGATATCTAATATTAGACGATTTGTTTTTAATCATTTCTAATATATCTAATAATAACGGACCCATTTACCAATTATACAACACCAACAAAACACATTTCCAAATTAGACGCAGTTCGTTAAAAAGTTTTAATTAAAGAGGGCGTCTAGTTACAACCGTACGAGGACTTTCAATAGCTTAAAAACGGAGATCCCATAGATGCTAATAAGACAAATTCACAATTCGTTAATTAGTAGATACTCGCAATTAAAGTGTCATAAATTAAATGGTCGTTCTATTTTCGTCTAACGTGACAAATTGTGTACGCGTTATTCAAAAGCAACGTTACATAAGCTGATGCACTTTATGATCCGAATTGGATGAGTCTCCATTGATTACGTTTCAACCCCTATTACATTACTAGTGAGTACACGCGTAAGTAGCCACAATGTGTCAAAAAGATTTTTTGGAAATAAAAATGCAAGTGGACAGATATTTCTGGATGTGTATTTCCCATCAGTCACTGGAAAGATGATTGACAGCCTAAGGAGACGATCCAGTCCTTTAGCTCGTCCCGCCAACAGATCATTCACAAAGTACAGCAAAAATAGGCAAAAAAGCTAAACTGCTACCTACAGGAGCTCTCCTCCCCCAAATAAACGCCGAAATAAAGATTCTCATAGTATATGAGAGATACTTCATCGAGTAATATGTACAAATTTCCACAATCATTCTCCACCAAGTAGCAAGAATGGCAATTAGAGACGAGGAAGTTTGAAGTTGACCCCACAAGAACCAAACTTATTACTAAACCAATAAAGCCATATACAGGGTGTGCTATTTTGATTGAGACTGCAGGGTATCTCAGCTGATTTTCGATTTTCGCGACCCTGTACCACTATTTTGTGAAACTTTTAATATCACAAGCAGAATCAATCTAACGACGTTTGTTTCTGAAATACAGGATAAAAACGAAAAATTTGACTTTTTGGGATGTTATCACATCTTACTGCCAATTTAAGAACTGATTGATTTGACCCAAAGTTGGTATTTTTTCAATGCAACACCCAGTATATTTTAAGGTCAATTTTTTGCATTCATTTTCCTGATTACATTGATGTATCATAACCTATATTTGTTTAATTTTATCCATGACAACCTTATTTTTTTACTGTTTTTAAATAGTAAGCCATAGATTCTGATTAAGGCATCTGATACCAATCCATAAAAATGGCTAACGGTAGAAACATGTCATTTCAAAATTTTGAAAAACATGATATAATATACAATTAATAATTATATAAAAACAGGTAACAGAATGCAAATCGTTGACATTAAAATATACAGGGTATTGAATTTAAAAAATACCAACTTTGGGTCCAATCTCAAAAACGGCGGAGAAAAACAGTATTATGCTCAAAAATGTTCATTAAAATTGGTTTGCTCATAATCTTCAGACTACCAAGAATGCAAATTGTACACTGTGTGTAAGATAAGGATGTCTATAATGGGGATCTCGGAAACCATAGAAGATATGAAGATGGTTAAAGAAAATTGTGCAATTAACGAGTTATGATCATGCTGTAAAGCTCACGAGAAAATTCCGATTACTTCCGAAGAAAAACCGAAATTTACCGATTTTGTTTTTTTTTTTTTCCTTAATTTGAACAGATAAAAAATTAAAACAAGTTATAAATTGTGCACAACTCTTGTGCAGATAGAGCGCATTTTTTTTAAACCGAAATAGCTTTTGTTTTAACATCACCAATATTTCTTGCAGACGTCTCAATCACCCTTAAGTACCCTCTTCCGACAATCCGTTCTTGAGGTATAAGGGAATATACCCGATCACGATAAGAGGTCGAGGAGGAGGCCTATGGTTGGTAGAAATTAATTCCTTTTGTTGAGACCTTTCATTAGAGTACCTACCATGAAGGATAAGATTAGTTCCACTCCCCCCCCCCTTCCGCTCCACCCCGTACTTTGATTTGATTTGATTTTTTTTAATTCTTAAAAAATGCGCTGAAAAGAGTACTTTCTTATTGCTATAAGACTTGTGCTTTCGTTTCGGAGAAATCATTATCAACTTTCTATAGAAGAATAATCACGTGTCACACTCTAAACTTTTATATAAATTTCAAAATCAAATGTTTTCTGAACACTGAACAAAACACCCACGAGTAACTAGACCTTGTCCAATCAACATGGCGGTGCATTCAAATGCATTTCTTTTTTTTTGTCTGCTATTTCATTCCGTAAAAATTAAATATGGCGTCCATAAAAAGTTCTGATAAAGATTCTCCTAAAAAGGTACCTATAGAAGGTGATAACGTGAATGGTCCATTACCAACCGTTTAAGCTAGAAAAAATGAAAACGAAATTTGACATTTTCAGATTTTCGGCGATATCGCAGTTATTTTCAAAATTTTCCAAAATTTCAAATGCGCATTTTTAGTAGTAAAAAGGGACAACTTTGCCCCCATTTAACCTACACTGTATCTAACACCGTTACGGTAAATTTGAACCATCCTGTACAGGATGTCCTATTTTTCTCCGTAATTAATAGATATCAAAAAAGTAATATAGGCGTCATAGTAGGTATACAAGGGCGAACCTGGCCCTGTTGTTAAGGTGTGTAGGTTAACTCCAGGGCATTGAATGTCATCGGAAGCCAACGTGCCCCTTTTTTGTGAGACATATTTCACTTTCAAGATTACCAAAGGAAAATGTGCAGTGTCAAATTGTATCCATAAAGTCATTAGAGGTCCATGACCCCATTTTTGTAATGTCATTTTATTTTCAAGGTCATCAAAGTTCAATGACCTCAAAACCTTACGTGAACGCCAATCGAATCGAAACGTTAACGAAATATTTTCAATATTGATTGAAAAAATGTAAAAAAAATTCTTTTTGATATTTTTAGGTAGAAGCCAGTGGCGTAGCCAAAAAGATTTTTTGGATCACCGTTTCTGAGATTTGACTCAATGTTGGTATTTTTAAATGCAACACTATATATCTTAACGTCAATTATTTGCACTCGTTTTCTTCATTAGATTGATGTATCACAGCCTATATTTCTTATATGATTAACGGTATTTCTTTTAAAATTTTGAAATGACATGTTTCTACTGTCAGCCATTTTTATTCATTGGCAGCGGCTGCCATAAATACAATAAAAAAACAAAATATCCATGAATCCACGGCGTACTATTTAAAAAAATATACCTTGTGATACATTGTGATACTCTTAAAAAATGGAAGATTCGCTGGTCCTTTGTGAAAAACTATAAAGCGGCAGTCTCAAAGTGAAACGTTTTAGGGAGAACATTACATCGGGATAGGGGGGGGGTGTGCGAAGTACCCCTCAGCGCGCACCTGGTGATTTTATATTTATAACAAAATAAACATTAATCTTTTTTATTTTTCCTGGAGGGAAACCCAAGATATTTAATGGGCGCCTGTGGGGTAGGAAAAACCCTTAAAAACGAAAGATTCAATAGCGCGTTATGAAAAACTATCGGTAGTCCTAGGGCCAACGTTTTGAGCAGGGGTCTGGAATACCCCACAGTGCGCGCCTGTAGATTTAATGTTATGTGTAAGAAAATAAATATTAATCTGTTTTATTTTCGGGGGGGGGGGGGGTATTTGAAATCCCCCCACCCCCACCTCGTTCTGTATCCACCTCCTACATACTTAATGCTCTCACTACCTCCACCATATTTCCAAGGTAACACCAAGTCTATGGGGTAGAGAACATTCCTTAAAAGAAGGAAGATTCGACGGAGTTTTATGAGGAACTATCCTGGGAGTTCTATGGTCGAACGTATTGAGCGATAACATAGCACTGGGATGTCTGGGGGACATGGAACACCCCCAGCGCGTCTAACAACCGTATGATATGTCAGAAAATAAACAATAATTTTTCTTATTTTTCGTAGGCGTTTAAACCACCTAAGCCCCAGATGTATGTCCGCCCCCAAGATACTTACCTTTACTATTTTTACATGTTGATTCTGTAATCAAAATTCTTTCTTTCAAATGGGAACTTTTAACACATTGAAATTCTCAATTTTTGTAGTTTTTTTGTACAGTTGAGCTTGTTCTTGACGGAGTCCAGGATTCCGGGACATAAAAACAAAGACAGGCTTAATGCCAGAAATTTGGCAACCCTGTAACATGAATGCCCCATACTAAACGCTCAATATCAATTCACTACTGCGACCAATAAGTAAGTGAAGACGCTCAAGGAATACACAAACACGTCTAAAGCAAAAATTCTTCCGTGCTTCCAAGGAGCACTTTGATCAACCGGCATGATGATAATGCAACCCCTGCAATCGCTCCTCAATCTAACAAATATTCGCGAAAAACTGATTTTCCGTTTCCTATGAACGGTGGACGATAGCGCTGTGGCTACAAAAAATTACAAAAAAAAAATTTTTCATTTCCTTTACAGTACCCCCCTCATTTTTCAATCATCTATACAAACCTTTTTATTACAATGTATGACAATTTTCTTTGGATGCTTTCAGATACTTACCTTTTAACAGTTTCCGTTGGCATACTCGACGTATGATTGGTCTTGATTTGCAACTTCTCGCTTAAGATTATTTCCTCAGAAATCTGACTGACAACCGAATGCGATCGTTGCTCACTCACGATCTCCTCAGTTACGGAACTTTTTCTAGTCATTGATGTTTCGGAAACGACAGTATCACTCTGACTTCTTATATTATACACTTTTATGGGCCCACTGTGCCGCCTCTCTTCTCTAGCGTGCCGTTTTATTTTGGTAACAGTGCCGCCTGTTGAAAGCTGAGCCTTAATCATGTTGCGTTGCTCTTTTAACACAGATTTGCGCTCCTTCGAGGCGGCCTTCTGCATTTGCTTCAACCTGCAAGAAAACTTTAGCATTAAATGGACAGAAACGCTTTATGATACCTTTGCATCTCATGCCGTTCATGTTCGAGCTTAATCAGCAGACCCCTCTGTTTCTTCTTAATCGCCGATATCTCTTGCAGCTGCCCCCCATCCTTCAAATGTCTAAAACAAGAGAATTACGCACGTTTTTAACACGCAAAGGACCACTCACTTCTTTTGTATCTCCAACCAAGCCAATTCGCCTTTGGTGCGATCAACTAGCGCCTTCTCTCGAATTTTTAGAATAGCCTTTAAATTTTCAATTCGCGCATCTTCGTCTTTAATCAGCCGTTCGAACTAAAACAAAATGCGACAATTTGCACGTAGCCCAGGTCAACAAGTTACCATATCTAGAGATAATCCGGCAAATGTACCCTCGCCGTTAATCTTCTCGGGCACGACCGAATTATCCGAGCAGCTTTCCTCGATTGGCGAATTGAACTGAGACAATTCAAAACCTGTAGTGATGAGCGTGTCGTTGTCGCTGACGTCAGAGCCTCGCGAATAGTTTATGGTGGCGATCTGACTTTGCTGATTCATAAACGACGTTTGAGTGTCACGTGTATGGAAGCTCATTGCGGTGTCGTTCTTCTTGTTGTGAAGTTCGAGCAATGACTGAAACATGGCTGTGAATTGGGGGAATTTACAAGATTAATGTAGGTACCTTTTCTACAGCCATGACTTGTCGAAGGGAGTTGTTAAAGTCATTGAGAAGATGTAGCTCCGCCTCAAATTTTAAATGAATCTCATTTGCTTTGACCTGTAAGTGTATTAAATTGGTACGATAAAGTTGTCATTAATTGTGATAGGTAATCCACCCTCTCATTATATTAATCTTTTCAGGCTTTTATGCCTGCCTAAACAGTTCATTCGAGTGCGATGAAACTTTTGATAACGGTCGGACGAATGCTCGCGAAGGTTTTTGATGTATCAAAATCGTGCGAGGTGAGACGGGGCAGCCGCCGAAGCCGAGCGTTTACGTCCTTACCGGGGACGAATAATTTGGGCAAGGCAGCGCAGCCGAAACCGAATTTATCTCATCCGGGAGCGCGACATTGACAGATAGGCGGTACGAAGTTCGCCGGGTTCGCTTGTTATTAATAAAAAATAGTGGTCGCTATTAAAAAATACATAATTATGCCCCCCTTGACTCTGCAGACGTACGCCACTGAAAACAATTTTAAAGTGTAACTTTTTTATGATTTTAGATATCATAAAAAACTTGATTGTAATTTTGAATTTAGTTTTCCGCACAAAATTTCTACCCTGTACAATCCAAAGTATCCAAAGATGTCTCTGGATATCCGAGGACGAGTCCGAGGAGTTGGCAGAATGTGTCACGTTCCAATTTATTTTTGTTCCAACTAACCCACCATGAACTGTGGCTACTTATGAATCTAAACATCTCAGGGACCAAAACTTTGGCTGATTTTTTTTAGAAAATTAACCATTTCTGTCGGAATGTCGAAGAAAGCCCTCAAGCGGCGATATGTGAAACTAACAAAACTTCAAATATTATAATAATTTGTAGCCGAAGAATAACTTTTCAATTAACCTGAGTTTGTTAAAATCGGTCAGCCGTTTCGAAGATACAGGGTGTTATTTACGGAAACCTTTGAATACCCCCCACCACTTCATTTTTAAAGATACAGCTTATAATTGTCAAACAAAAAAGGTTCAGATTATCACCGACTTCAAAGACCGGGCATTTTTTTGTTAAGTTAATATAGCGGAATTCACAGAAACATCACTTTTTTAGATTCCAGATTGCAGTTACGCCCCCTAGCGGCCATTTCAGAAACAGAAAAATATTTTCCAGGTTTTTCTCGTGGCCGTTTTACTAATCACTTTTTTTACCGCAAGCCTCTACGATGGACAGGTTCCCAGATACAGTACCTCGCATTCTTATTTGACCACTCTGTATATAGGTAGAAGGACGAATTAAATGATTTGGCTAGGTTTTGTTGCAGGCCGTTTCTGATTTTGTGAAAATTTTCGAAAAACTTGGGAGTAGGTCCAAGTTTTTACGAAGAAAAATTCCGAGCTTGACCAAATTTGGTATCTTTGAACAAGAAAACAAGGAAACCAAACTCAAATTTTTTGAAAATAAAAAAACTTGGAATTTTTGTTGTATTAAAACGACTCATTTTGAATTAGTTATTTTCATGTTGAAAAATCCCCATAATTTTTCCCACCCCTGTAGCTTTCCACCGTGAGAGTGCCAACTTTGATGACCACCCTGTACATGAACGCATGGCATCGAAACGTGATATAAATTTGGGGCACTTCATTACGAGAAACTGCAGCTTCTGGATCTATGTAGTTCTTTACTACCAGAAGGTAAATCGTGAATAACCTATACGTATCACTTTTTAATTTGATAGTCTTTAATTTAAGGGTTGGTGAGATTGAAAACCTTTGATTTGACGGTTGTTGTCATTAGTTCCCTTATTTACTTGAGCACAAACCGCTAGGGGGCGTTTTTCGAATTTAATCAATTTCTTTAATGCCCCATAACTTTCTTATTATTAAAGATAATTGATTTTAGAATCCATCGCAATTCATAGTTTTTATACGGTGTTTGGTTTTTCTTTACGACCCTAAACTACATTTTTTCATATGGACCACCCTATATATTTTTGAAAGCCTACAGTTTCCTAAATTTTGATATCACTTGTTAAATTTATATGAAATATTATTTTTTTAATAGTCTTAATATCCAAGTCTCCATGGCGAATAAAAAATGGCCGGATTGTTTAAAACGACAATTGCTTGGTTATCTGCATTATTTATTTATATATTATATGATTTATTTGTTTAATTCACATGAGTTTTCATGTCCTTTGTTTTTTGTGTGTTATTTGAAATTAAAAATATTTGGAACTAATAAAAATTTCCAAAAAAAGAAATTGTCAATTTAAACAATCCTGCCATCTTTTGTTCGCCATGGAAACCTAGATGTCTGCAGTGTTAAGGGTGCGTTTGCACGCCATGGTGTAAGAAAAGTGAACTAAGAAGTATTTTTGAAATATTCGTTGCTTTGTGCTGCCATCCCGAATCCGCGATCCCTATTTGTACCTCGTTAGGTCGCTAACACTCGCATACATTCGTCTTGAGATAAAATTAAAAATAGTATTTTCATTTTGCTTATCTTTGGTTACCACCTGTAACTGTAAATATCGTTCCGTAACTCTAAAAAGGGAATTTAGTGATCTTGCGAAATAAATTCTACCTAAAAATACTTATTTACCATAATATGCGGTTTTGTTCAGTAATTCAATTGAATGCCAATAACAGTGCCTAAGTAACTGTAATTCCTGAAATGCCATTCAAAGTTGGGTTATGTTATGGATTATGTTTACCTGATTTTCTATTAACTGCAAAATAACAAAAAAAACCAGTACCTACCTAGGTAAGTAAAGTTGAGGATCTTTATTTTAATATAGTTCTATTAATGGATTGTTTTAGGCTATCCTTCGACTGTACACATTTCCGAAGATTGACTTCCGACACCGAGTACATTTTTTTCCGATTATCATTTTACCGAACGATGTCATTGCAGTGCGTTTATATAAGGCCATCGGTCACATCATGATCAGAACACGGTGCGGTCAATTATTGTAACCGTGTATTTCTGTACTGTTCATGTTCTGACCGTAACCTGACCGATAATAATGTGAATCGGCCTTAAGGAATACTCAGCCTTTATGATCACAAAGGACAATCCACGCAATATTTTTAGGAAAACCAGATTTGCAAGTCAGCAATACTAACTCATAATTGAATGTTATTTGTTTGGGTGTGAAATCATATTTTGATATAATACCGATAACATTGAGATCCTTCACTCAACGATTGAATTATTCAATGCCGATAGTATGTAGTTCATTCAAATTATGGGAACCAAGATGGCATCCAATCGGTGGGGTTTCGTTATTATTAATAGTGCTTAAATTTAGTTGTAAGTGACGTGTACATTTATTATCGAATAAATATATAATCTTCAGTTACTGATTTCTTGCAGAGTTGTCTGATAGCACTTCCGAGGTGTAAATACCATCGTACAAGTCGACAGTGCTATTAGATAGCAACTTGGGCGAGAGTATTCTTGCCCATAAGTAGCGCTTCGTCTGGTAAACGTAAGCAGTATTAACACTGTATTATCAATTCAGAAACACCATCCCACATAACCTCTTTTTGTTGTAAGCTCTGAAATTTTTATATTAATTAATTATAACGTAGAGTGAAAAATCCCATGATCCTAAACTCAACGTTTATAAAGACTTCTTTTGCCAGTTTCCTAACCCAAATTTTGAATGTAGGTAACGTTAACCAGTGTAATTCCTACTTATGGTACGGTTTTTTGCTGGATACATTTTATCTGCATTAATAACCAACAAAGCCAATAAAGGAATAAGTTATACTGCTAAAAAATAGATACATTAATACATTCCAATAAGTACTCCACTTTAAATTTCCCGCTTTGTAAGAATAGTATACCGTAGCCATCTTAGTGGATACACGTTGAACTACACTGAGCACAGATTTCTTTTCTATAATTGTTTTACGAGTTATTTTTCAAGTGTACGGAGTTCATACCGTTTGTGCTTTAGAAACCACATATTATCCATTTTTACATCACGTTTTATTCCTTATATGTTCAAGAATCTGGAGAAACAATTTATATTTCAAAAACTTCTTTGACCTTTGAATTATACACAAAAGGTTGCCATTGTAATCGAACGTCTACTTTATACACTTTCAGAGAATGAGCTATGAGTTTTAATGCAATATAAACCGTTCACTCATAATTTACATACATTTAAGAACAAGAAATAACAAACATTTCCGAAAAAAAATGTATATTTTTTAAAAACGGTATGAATTCCGTTAGGCATGTTTCCCATAAGAAAGCTATTGTGAGATAGGCAACACACAATACTGATAGCGCGCCCTTAATGCATTATAAAAAGCAATATTGCAAATAATATTTAATATCAATATAACAAGTAATACGTCAAAATTTAGGAAATTTTAGGCTCTCAAAAATATATAGGGTGGTCCATTAGTTTAAGGTCGTATAAAAAAAACCAAACACTCTGAATAAAAACTGTGGTGTGGCTTCTACATAAAAAAGTGCCCTAAGAAATATTTTGCCAAAATCAATTATCGTTAATAATAAGAAAGTTATGATGCATTCAAGACATCGACTAAATTCGAGAAACTCCCAAACCATTAGTCATAGCTGAATTCTGTTTGTGACGGTAGCCTCTTTAAAATTGACCGAGATCCATTTTCTTCTATCTCTTGAAATAAAGGGTGTTTCCAATTTGAACCACCCTGTACTGTCGGCATTAGAAGACACAGCCACGGAAAATACTATTCCATTCCAATCTTGTCCATTGTACAGGGTGAGTCAACGATTGCGCCTTGAAGATAAGATTTTTCGATAGAGTGCTTTTGTATTATGATATGGTTGAATATTCTCCACATTTTAAAAATATTTGGAATTATACAGGGTGCGCCCACAAAGTAGGGCGCCAAAATGTATGATGTAATGATTAGAAATTGAGGCAATGGGTGGCGCCACATATAAAGGGAGAACATTAGGGTTTAGATAATGGCGCTTCTGCTGGGGTTACCAATTTTGTAACTTAGCACCAAACGATTTATGATCTTCACAAATACAAACACTTACCTTATTTGGAGGACACAAGCATAAACCAAGCATCACCCATTAGGTGGATTACCTTTCAAAAAAATTTAAAAAAAAAGCATACAAATCACACCTTGCTTTCGACAAAAGACTTCTCCCCAGGTTTAAGAGTAATACTTGCAACCCTATTTGATACCGTCCCACCATCCTTTTGCTCTGAACTCGAAATAGGTAACGAGCTCTTCAGGGACACACTCGGCGGTTGCAGCGCAGGTACTTCAGACACACTTGTAAAGTTGCTCGAATACTCTTGGGAACCACTCAATTTTTCAATTACACCGGCAGTCGGCAACACATTTTCCTTATTTTCCAAGCTGTAAGTATCGCCATTTTCTTTTACTGCATCCTCAATGTTTTTATCGGACGATACAGTACTGGCACTATTACGGACAGCACTGCTGTTGATTTTTTCAGTTGGCACCTCCGATTTTTCACTCGCAATCTCATAATTGCACCTGTTAAACGATATAATACTCTCCTTACTTCCGCTAATACGTTCGGATATCTCCGACTCTACGGATTTCCGTTGTCTTAGCCTCAACTTTTTCACCCTGTCCATGTTAATCTTTAGTCTGAGCTCCTCGTCGGTATCCGAATGAGCTCGTTTATTGGAATGTAACATATTGGTATCCGCACTACTTTCACTAGACAATTCGGGAATGTTCTTTGAGGTATCCGATTCACTGGCACAGCCGTTTTCTAAACCCGTGTGAGATTTTCTTAACGTTAAATGTTCTACGGACTTTACATCTAAATTAAGGCACTTATCAGATAGGAATGACTTTAAATCTGGACTTCGACGTACGGGCGACTCTAAAACTACCGACGCGTTCTCCTTCGCTTGTTGAGCAACTAAATTTAATTTACGTTTGACGGCACTTATAAAATTGTACGGATATGGCACAACTTCGGGCAAGCTAACTGGCTTCGGCGATTCGTAGAGGTTCGTCTGAACTTCCTTACAAACAAGCTCTTTCGTCGGTTCACCTTTCTTAGCCTCTATTATAGACTTTCGATGCCGATAGCCGCGAAATAATGCCTGAATTTTGGTGGCGGCTACTTCCTTATCAATTTCAGCTGTTTCGAGCACATCAAAAGTGAGTGGTGAGCGCGCGCTTACAATTCTTTGACTAGAAACACATTCGAGTTGAGGAACACTCTCGACCATCTCTTTTCGCTCTGAGGAAGTGTCCGCCCTGGAAATACAAGGTCATTTTATTACACAAATCCTTGAGTAAACGCGGAAATCACTTTGAAATCCTCCATTACCAAATCTAATAAATCCGCCTTAGCGGTTTTCAAAAGATTTACTTTCAAATTTGAATTTTTTTCAACATAGGAAAATTTACAAATATACCGCTTCATAACGAACGTGAACGAAAGTATGTCTGGAATAAAATCGATAACAAAGTGTGCATTTTCGAGATAAAAATCTACGGAGACCGAATTGTAAAGAGGGTTTTCGATAGATAAGGTTAGACTTGCAAAGAGTTCAAATTAATTTCACGTAAAAAACGAAACGTTTTCGTTTAACTTCAAGACCGACCATGTCCAATATCGGCGTGTCAAAAAAATAAGTCGCAGTCGACATTTTTATGTATATGCGAATATACGAATTCCATTAAATTTCGGGACCTTAGCGGCCTGATTCGCCTTTTATTTACGAGTGATAAAATATACGTAAAGGTACATTTTCGAGTCGGAAAAGCGCTTTGCAATTAAAAAACAGGATTGAATAAACGGACAATAGTTTTTTTTGGGTCGCTAATAATTCGGAGCAAGCTCCTCAAAGTGGACTGACATAATTGGATAACGCGTTGTGCGATAAATACATTTTTTGCGCTCCGTGTGGAGTAAATCAACGTGTTTTGTCTTCCATTTAAGGGACGCGAAGCAAAGAAGGACAACAAACTGCACCCTAAGGATTAAACACAAACTTATAATATACTAATGTATAGAACGGCATACAGCAGGGAAGCTAATAAATTGGACAAAATTAATATCAACACAACGGAACTTGGCTTATTATTCCTGTGCAATAATCACGATCACTTTCGCGAAATTGAAAGCGGTTTGCATATAACGTTACCAGAGTCGCCCAAAAAGTCAACTGTACACATCAAAGTTCAGTTCAGTTCATCAATTTGTTATCAGAAGAGAATATTACCCACGTCAATTACTGTAAGTTTTATTAAATTTTTGGATTTTTATAAAGTAGTGGTCGGTTACTTGCATAAGTAATTTTGTTCAGTCATTTTAATATTCCTAAAGGAATCGATCCGTGAAAATTATATGCATGAAACAGATTTTGTTTCTATTTATTTATTGATATGAATCGAAACCAAGCTTTTTGTTACTTTGTTGCATTTAATTTCAGTGATAATATTCCTTTGGTTGGATTAATATTTTGTTTAGCATTCAGATATTTTGAACAGGAGAATGTACCAGTAATTTATTATGTGATAAAGAGTATGGAATTTATTGGTATTTCTTTTATAAGCTAAACCGATATTTTAAGAGGAATAACTTGGAAAGAAACATGTAATTTGATCGCCTTAATATAGTCAATCAACTAATTTCACATACATATTCATTTGAGTTCAATAAAACTAGAACATTAGATTTTGAATTTCAGGTTTTCAGAGGGGATAAAGGGTCAAATTACCGTACGGAGAATAAAAAACATTGTTATTACTGAGCTAGCCGTGGGTCAAATAGACATTAATTGTCATATTAAAACTTTAGCGCATTTTCCATGAATTGATCAGTACTTCCCGGTCATCAATAAATAAAAAGAACAAATAAAAAGAAAACGCTTTCCGTAGTTATATTATGGCATGTTAGTATATCTGTAGATAATTTTATTTTTATTTATATTGTTTCATTATATTTATATTTACATTATGTTATATTGGTAATTTGTCAATCTTGTTAGGTGTTATTCTGTTCTATGTAATTTCTGCTGTTACAATTTATGACAAATATTGCATACATACGGAATGTAAGTACTGGCAATATAAAATATACAAATACAAATACATCGGGCTATTTATGCGTACAAAGGAAAATAATTTATGGCACCAATATTATTACCCGATGTTTAAATATGCTTGTATTTACTAGAATAGGCTGGGGTTCAAGTTTCAAGAAAATATCTCCATAAATAAAAAAGTTGGCATTATGCTGTGTACAATATGCGATATGCTTGTTACTAGAAGCGTCTGTAGTTAAAATTTCAAAAAAGCTTCTGTCTTTTCCAATATGCCTTATGCCTGTTGTTACTAGCAATATCTGGATAAATTTCAAAAAATATCTCCATAAATAAGAAAGATAAAGGCATAAATTAAAAAAAGTTTGTTTATAATGATTGTTGAATAAACTTCCGTTTTCAAAATAAATATATGGGAACAAATAAAGAAGTTATCGATTTTAACCTCATTTTTTTATGGAACACCCTGTATATTTTAATCTAAATATTCTCTGTCCAAAATGATATTGATTCGAAAAGATTCAAAAATTAAAATTTTTTTTTTAATTGAAAAATTCGAGGAAAAATTTATTTAAAATTTTTTTGCAATTATTTTTCCAATTATTTTGAATCACTTAAACCTTTTTTGATTATTATTCCTAGTGTGTTATATTTTGAAAGAAAGAATTTAATATAGATGGATTTTAGATTAAAATATACAGGGTGTTCCATTTAAACAATACGGTTTGTCTAATATTTTTTTACCTGACTTATTTTGAAAAAGGTGGAGAAAGTTTTGTAATAAACATTTTTATGTATCTCTTTTAACCAAGAAAATCTCAAAGAAAATATAGATTATTCTGAAATTGACAATTTTCCATTCTTTCAAGCACGCGAATATTTTCAAATTTTGATTTTACCATTTGAAGCACATGACGCTAAAAAGTGTGTATTTTAGATATTTTTACGTAGAATCCAGTGGCATAGTTGAAAACATTTTTGGACCAGTTTCTTAGATTTGACCCAAACTTGGTATTTTTTAAATGCAACACCCTGTATATCCTAACGTCAATTTTTGCATTCTTTTTCCTGAATATCAAAACCTTTTTTATATGACTATATACAGGGTGTCCACAGATTGGGTGTATATAAGGTGAGATCTTCATGTTCCAAGGATGGCTTCTGCTTAGTCTTTAAATTCCATTGAAAAAATCAGTCAAATCAATTAATATACAGGGTGATTTTCTAATTTGTGGAAATACCTACCTGTAGGTTTTTGCCGCAGTGTTTATCCCCTCGACCCGCTCCTTAGACCGTGCTCGATTAACATTCTTGGTCAGTAATTTCTGAGACGTCTCACGTAACTCCTGCAGACGTTGCTTTTTCAAATCGGCAATTGAAACCCCCTCCTTCCTCTTATTAATCATCTCCTCTCGCCGTTTTTCCCTCTGCTTCTTTATGTATTCGCGAGCGACATCTTGATTGTAGTGTCGAACCTTTTTAGTTTGAAGCACCTCCGATTTGTCGGCCGGTTTAGATTTCGGCAACGGAACGATGATCTTTTCCGGCTCGCTTCCATTATTGTAAAGTATATCGGCGATATTATCCTTGAAAGTTTTCGCTTTTATATCCCTAACCTCGGTTTCGGTATCGCGAGGCGGAGACTCCTGGAAGTTACATTTACGTTCCGTAATACCCCTACTAATCAACTGTTCCAATTCCACTTTCAATTGTTCAATTTCGTTTTTTGTTTTTGCAACTTTATCGCTGACTAAAGCTGCTTCTTGTTTCTTTTTCAGTTGGACAACTGAGTCGGTTTGCGTGGGCATTTTGAGAATCGTTCCCGGCACGGTTTTGACTAGAGTGCATTGCCGAAAAGAAGTTTGCGCTACAAATTAAAAATTATTAACTGCAAACGAGACTAAAGTAAGCGACTTACGTGCTACATATTTTCTATTAAGTCGTGAGGGAGATGTGTCACTGAATGTTACATTTTTAACCTTTTCTTGCCTTTTCTGTTGTAACATTTACCTTAGTAAGTAGTATTGTTAAAAAAAATTGTTCATAATTGTACAAATAACAAAAATTCGCATAAAATTAAAGAAGAACGGTTGAATACATTTGTAAATGTAAACGTTGCGAAGTTGCCAATACTTTTCAAGGACGTTCAGCAATTTTTTCTAAAAAAATAGTCTTCTCTCTTGTACTACCACTAAATGTAGATCTTAAAAAGGATACTGGAAACTAAAATAAGCCTGTTTATAGGAATGATATTTCCGAACACAATTAATATCGAAAAGGGGACCGCAAACTTTGTAAAATTGACAACGTTACATTAAAATTCAAATTGGCTGTGGCTCTTGTAGCGTACGAAGTTTGTAACTACTACCTCTTAAAACAGTGGCGTAGCTAGGGGTGACAGAAAAGCATGGAAGAAGTTATTGTAAGGGCCATAGTTTATGCAAAGGTAGTGTAGTGTACCGTGTACGTAAACATGAAATAGAATATAGAAAGAACAAACGTTGTGACGTCTGATGGTTTAAACCTTAAAGTGAAGAAAAAGATAAGGGAGGTAACTCGGTATAACTAATCATCAGCGCCACGGTATAAAATAGTATGTACAATTACAATGTACAAATTAGTTCGCATATTTTCTTCTGAGCATGGTGGCACTGTATGTTGGACGCATCCGTCATTAAAGCATACAGAACGGAGTATGCAAAGTTGCTTATTCTCATTCGCCAAATTGGCCATTTATAATATTAATTTGTGTTCGCTTCCAGAAACATAAACTTAGGCAACTTATAATACACCTTTTCTATCTGTATAAAACAAGCGGCGCGGCGGAAGCTATCTTCTCGCGCTCTCGAAGTAAACTTTTCAGTCGTTTTCCAAGATTCACAGGAGTATTCGACCCCTTCTGCATATTCACTCAGAATTAAGATATTGTGGAAGCAAATCAAGCGTTTTCGTGCAACGGAACAGGTGTACTGTCCAGCCTTAAGGGGGACCTTTTCAGTATTGTGTGTTGCCAATCTCACAAAAGTGTTCTTTATATGCCATATAGGTTCCGATTCAGCACTATTTTGGGTAGAATTATTTTTTAAGGGTTCTGTGGCTTCAGTAATTTTCGGTTCTGGTTATTCCAGTTTTCTTTCTGTTTTTATGGCTTCCAACATGAATAAATAAAATTATTATTAGAAAATATAAATTATTGTTAATGATAGGAAAAAAATAATGCACAAAATAAAGTACCTACATTTATATTTTGCGCGAACATATTTTTTAGGTTTAATTAAAACTTCGTTATAGCTTGGGCGTTTGTTTCAGCACTGTCAACTGCTTGTCTTTTCGTACTTACTTTTGCTTCAGCAGTAGCTTCAACTATTGCTTTCCACATGCATACTTTTACCAAAGGTTACTCTTTGCTTTTACCCTCTTACTGTTTTTGATTAATTTTCAGTACTAGTTAAAAAAATAATTTACGTTTGTTTGGTATTAAGGGGAGGATTTCGATTTTTTACTCTGAGCGTAATTTACAAAGCAATTGGCTAATAAAATAAACTTAAGAGGGGGGTCTGTCTGCGCCATCTGGAAATCACCAACGTTTGTTACGTTTGGCATTCTTCTGTTGTTAATGGCGATAACGAACGCATTGCTCCGTATATGTTTGTTATTTTCTGTTATTTAATGAGGGTAGTAAACTTTGCATTTCTTTACAATGTATTTGTGTTTTATATGCAGCATGCATTTAATATTTTTTGGGAGTTTCAATATTTGTTTTTTAAATTGACTTGCTTTAACCGTTACGTAATGATGTAGTAAAAACGCAATATTGTAATAGGAATGGTCTAATAGGGTTGTAGAGTTGAAAGGTAAATTTCCCTACGGGTGCGCATAAATGTTATACGTTTGAAAGGTTCCACCCTGTATATACAACTTACGACGATACATACATTTTTGAGAGTTGGCAACCATGCAATTTCTAGGTGGGGAAAAGCTGTCTGCGCCACCTAGAAAGCACGAACGGGAGTTACGTTTGGCATCTTGTCTTGAATGGCGGTGGTGAACGCGTCGCTCCATAAATGTTTGTTGTTATTTTGTGTTATTTAATGCAGGTAGTAATTTTTGCATTTCTTTATATCGTATTTGTGTTTTGTTTGCCGCATTTTATATGTTTTGTGTGTTTCAAGATTTGTTTTTGAAATTTACTTGGTTTAACCGCAATGCAGAATCATATAAATGTGTGATACCGTTATGCTATTGTTTGTAATTGTTTACATTTTTGGTGTAATGTTTGCTTAATTTGTGTTTTTTTTAATGTTGATTACTTGGTCTTGTCCCTGAAGTTACATTCATATAAGTTTGGATCATTTATTCATTTTATTTTATTATGTGGAGATTACCGATTCGTTTGAGGTTTGTTCTGACTTGTTGTTTGTTACTAACAATTTTCTCCGTGAATGAAGCAGTCACGGGAGTGGTAAAAACTGTAGTCAAATTTGTGTTACGACACCTAATTCCGTGATTGTCTTCGACATCCAACTGTAGATTCGAAACCCCGAGACCAGGGGCGGACTACCCATCTTGCAGGAGCGAGATTACTCTAATCAAAGCTCTTCAGTTTAGAATCTATGTGCGTTAAATGAGTGGCGATTCAATAATTTCCACATATCTTGTTTTTAGTCAACTTTGCCTACAAGGCCATGTAATTTTCCATCTTGCTTTCAACAAAAGGACTTTATTGCACCAAAGATGAGTCACATCCTGTGTATTTCACCCTTTCTCAGAATCTTGGTACCTGCTACTACCTGACCCATTGTCCCCAAAAACTTGCTTTTAACCTTGACTGTAACCAACATTGTGTATATGCATTTACTATCTTTATTAACTATTGCTTAAACTTTTACAAAATATTTTGTTAATTAACTTTTGAACTGTTTTAATCAAACTGCAAGGTTTTTCTTCGTCGTACTCTTTTTACCCTTGGCAGTGACTTTTGCGAGACTACGACACCTTTTGGCTTTGTTTTGTTTAAAATTATATTAATGTACATCAACTAAATTTCCGGGCTTTCACTATCTTAATAATTACGATCATTATTAAACAAACTTTTCTCAATTTCAGTGTTTATTTAACGTTCCTTCCCTATTGTGCTTCAGGTCAAAACGTTGTCTACAACTAACGTAAGGGGGCCCTGCCTTAGATGTTTTATCACGTGCCACTTTTCAAATTTAAGCGGGATCTTGTTTAGTTTTAGAGGGAATAGTCATTCGGGTGGCCATTTTTAAACGTTGCCGGGTTGACTTTATTTCCGTGTTCTTGTAGTGTGAAGTTAGCATAGAACCTGGGGGTTAAGTACACTACACGTTGAATAATAGAGAGTATACAGGGTGGTCAAATTATAGGTTTGATAATTTGAAAAGCTGAGATTTGTGAAGTTTCTAGTTTCCGGTTACAATTAGCGATAATTATCTATCGGTCTTCCAGCGTATATAAGTGTATCAGAATTAGGTTTTCGTGCTTAAAAACGCAAAATAAAACCAGGATGAGATCACTCCCCGCTATTGGGGATTGTAACAGTTTATTTTCTCATTCGTGTACCTATTGGTTATTTTTGTTTTACAGTCGCTGTCTTAGTTGGAGGAATTTTCCGCACAGGCTTGGGCGCTTGGCACTCCATACTTCCGGCATTGCTTCTTGGTTCGACATTCATAAATACAGTTACGTGTGCGCTAGAAAATTTCCATAAAGATGCAATTGCAAACGATCCGTTTGTGAGGTTATACTTTGGAAATTAGCACTACGTATATTTGCCATTTGAAGTTCTAATCGATGTAAATTATTTGTCCATCGTTACGGCACCCTCTCGTAGATTTGAAATGGTTCAAGTCCCAGTCCTAGTTTTAGTTTCAAGGTTACGTTCAAGTGTACACTCGCATTTTAAGTTTTAAATACCCTCAGACTTAATTGCAACAGCTTCTTATCAACACCCTGAGATAACCATGGCCATTTTGAACGTAATTTACGAAAAATTAGGACAACTATCACCCACTTGACACTTTGACGCCATTTGTCACTTTTGGATTGTTTTCGAATTCGTATTTCGTTCAACATACGGAAATTTATGTATGTCGGGAGATAAGAGTGATAAAGGTGCGCGTCTCTAGTAAAATGGAGACTTTATAGAAGCTAACCTCGAGGGTGGTAGATTATTTTTAGGAATTTGTATCAACAATTTTATTTTACGTAATTATATTCCTAAAAGAACCGACCTGTGAAAATCAATTGCATGCAACATATTTGTATCGCATTTTATTAATAATAATAATAATCGAATCGAAACAAAAAACTTGATCATTCGTCAGCGACTGTTCGAAAAGAATTAACATAAGTAATACTTTATTCTCACTTTACAATCCACGATCTTTTAATATTTTTACAATATGGTTATACAACAATGCGACAACGTTATTTGCCGTCAAGAAATCAGAATGGTTAAAATATTCATCTCTAATTACGTGTATGTAGTCAGGTCTAACTTCTGCGGGCAGAGAGTTGTACAAGTATTCGACGTTCTGCAACGTCAAAACGTTTATGTCATTAATTTTACACCACGATACTCACCTCCTTTGTTATTACCATATCGTTTTCGGCCCTTATGAAATAAGTTGGTATTTTCATTTTACTTAAATCGTACGATGGTGGTTCAGGTTGGTTGTACTTCATTTCATTTTCGTAAGCGCCATAGTCGTAGCTCTGGAATTTTCCCGAGGAATAAAGTTGGATCAAATGCGATAGAGTTTTGCTTGAAATTAGATCAGCAGTTTGCAATAACGAAATTGGTAGAGTTTCCTGCAAAATAGAGTTCATTGACATGTCACAACGAGTACCACTGACGCGGATATTTGGAGGAATTTCACGCGTACATGCTTACCGGGTCGCTATGGTGGTAGCTGAATCCAGCTAAAACCAATTCAGGTATCTGACACATCTTCATTTGGATTGGTAATGGATAACATGCCACAGATAGTAAATCACGTGGTAAAACTCTAACAAAAAAACGTCCGCCTGTTACAAAATCAACTAAAGGCTGAAAGAAGAGACAAATTGGCGCACCTACGTAGACTATGATCATAAATCAAGACAATGCGACGGATGGATTACCCACCTTAACAAGCCACCAATAAGGAAAGAGAACCCTAAGCGCACTCCTGGTTCCATTCAAATAGGCTAACGGTGCGAGATTGATAAAGAAATCTACTTGCTGTGAGCTTAAGTCAGGATAGGTCGCTCCATACACATACATTGCCATGGTACCCATTGAGTATCCGATGTACACGATTCCTTGCTGGGTGACGTGTCGGACGTGCGTGATCTGGGCTCGTAAATCAAACACGCCGTTCTCGTGGACAGTGAAATTCCAAAACGTGTAGTCGGAGTCATCTAGAGTCGTGTGGTTTTTAGAATACGTCGTTCCTCTAAAGTTCCCCAGCCAAACGTCGAAACCCTGATCGGCCAGAATAAATGCTGCAATATAAGGTGGATTAACAACAACGAGGGTTAGCGAGCTTGAGACTTACCTAGGGATTTCTCACGTCGGTTCACGAAACATGCGCTGTTTGATCCGAAACCATGTTGAATAAATACCGGTTTGCCGATCTTCCGTAGAGTTGTCCGCTTTCCCCAAGGTATACGGAATAAGGTTAATATATATCCATCGTCCGTTGTGACGGTGTGCGTTTCGAGTGGATAACCGTTCCTCAAAATAATACCGGGCTGAAAATGTAGACACAAATATTAATATTCGGGAAAGTGAATCATCAATAAATTTATTTCGAGCTTTAATTGTCTCATTAATTTCCCTAAATTAATTCGCATTTTGGTAATTACGTTCCTAATTACATTAAAACACGTATAAATTGTGCACAAGACAAAGCACATTTTTTTAACCGAAATAGCTTTTGTTTTGACATCACCAATGGATATATTTCTTGCAGACGTCTCAATCGCCCTTTGTGAGTACCCTCTTACGACAACCCGTTCTTGAGGTATAAGGGAATATACCCGACTACGATAAGAGGTCGAGGAGAAGGGCTGTGGTTGGTAAAAATTAATTCCTTTCGTTGAGACCTTTCATTAGAGTACTATGAAGTATAAAACTAGTTCCATTCCCATTTCCGTTGAGCAAGTTTCTTTAGTTGGTGAAAAGAAAGGGATTCTATTGGTCGGACAGATTAGCCACCATTTTAGGTCCTATTTTTTTATGTAGTGGCTGGTGGGCAATTAAGTCGTGGGATATACCCGGAAAGCATTACACGTTGGGCCGGGAAAACGTTAAGTCATGAAGGCGCTAAGTTCGAAGCGCGACCAGAAAGAATTAATTACGCGTTAAGCGACGAGAGAGACCGTGCCTAAGCTCAAGATAGAAGAAAAATTTCATTTTTGAAGGCACGGGGTAGTTAGTGCAGTCAGCCACAGGGAATTTATCGCGAGGTGGGTTTTAGATTTGTCTCGAGAAATCATTTGGAGAAATTGCGTGTGTCGCCAGTAGTAAATGACTTCACTCAAAGAAACATTTTCCGGTCGAAAAGACGAACAAGCGCGTAAAGTATTAAATATAGTTTACCCGGACGAATTGGAAAGTTTGCATAATGGCGGAAGTTATGTGCGCGTAAATAAAAGTTCAACTAGCTGACGTCATTATTGCTCATGTGTCGTAGTGAATCGTAATGAAATCGACTAATCACTGTTAGATTACTTAATATTGAATACACGTTTTGGAACCCGTATTCAGAATCACTGCTTTCCTTTTCAATGCATGGGACCAATTAGGGGATGATTCAGTATTCCATGGTTGGAATGAGTAAGGTAAAGTGTTTTTTCTATTGTATTGGGTACAGACGGATTCCTTACAGACTCGGTCGATTCATTTCTTAATCGGTTTGAGATTTTAAAAAAAAATTCCATTATAGTGATACTTTTTATGAATGAACGCAGCTAGAAGAAGGTAAAAGTCTTTCCATTCAAATTCAATACTTAGTAATGAATATCTTCTAGCCAAGTTAAAAAAGATCTTTTTTAATATGGTGATTTGTTTCCAAAGAGAAGGGCTGTTACGTATCGTTTCACATAATTTCGTTCAATTTTTTTTTGAATAAAGTGCGTTAAGATATGAAGCGAGCAGCAGACTCAAGACGCAGTGTTGCCGGTTCAAAAATCCGTCGTCACGGAGAATGAGGGACGGTATCTCTGATATACTTCACATGAATAAAAATTTGCTGTGGCTAGCACAGATAGCACCCGGACACCTGCGCATGTGTGTTGTGCCCAAATGCTATTCAGCCCTTCCTTCTATGACTAAGAATATGTCTACCAAATTTGGTTCCAATTTGTTCAGCCGTTTAGCCGGAAATCAGAATATAGACGGACCGACAGTACCTACATCATAGATATTTTGGTTGATTCGGATTCCTGGTGCTTCAAAACGTGTATTTCCGTCAAAAAAGTGATGGGCCATCTTTTACTAAAATGCAATACCTCCCTTTACTAACGTGCGGGAGGTAAAAATGAGAATCGTTAGGGTGTCGGTGGGTCCGTTTCGTATTTTGAATTTGGCGAGTAAAAATCGGGTGGGAGAGAGAGGTTCTTGGTCAAACTTTCCAAGCGAACCTATGCAGGTCGAGGGTTGCATTTTTCGATCGCGTATTGAATTCTTCGAAGCAAACCTACGTAACGTATACGCTGCAGTTTATAGATCGCGTAAAACGAAATCCTTCGCCAGCTTTTCAAGGCGACGAGTTGTGTGCGGCATTTTTGAGATCGCGTAAAATTTGTGCCATCATTTTTGACGAATTTATTGTCGTGGTGACTTTATAAATTCAGTGGGAGCTACCTTTCGAACCAAACCAATAATAAAGGCGTTTTTTATGCCACAGGAAAACTTCGTCGTCCAGTGAAAACTAATATGGATAGCTATTTACTTTCAACCGTGAATGGTGCAAAGCGGAAACGAGCAAATTCGTTTCGTAGTACTATGGGATTAGCGAACTCTTTTTTTTAAATAAATTGTTACCACGAAAGGGTTGAGGTCCAAGGGGTAAAACATTTCATTGCGCTATTTTTTAAGTGGCTAGTTACGTTAAAAAACATCGATCAAAATTGTGCACCTATTTTGTGTATACGGTGTATTATTAGATCTACATTAAACGACAACCGGTAAAAAAGTTTTAAGACAATTAATTCGTGGTTTAGTTGGTTGTCAAAGTCATAAATTATAAGCGTAATTACGGACATTTTAATACTGCGGAACAATGGTAACTATTCCAGTAAATAAATCAAATTTCAACTAATAAACAGCGTAAAACCTGAACAACGATTCGTCAACCATCTTTTAGCACGTAACCAAATTTTTACATGGCAGCACAAAGTATTGGACAACGTGTTCCACCAGCCAATTGTTCAAATTGCTGTCTCCCTTCCAAAGGAGGAAAGTTATTTTGAATTTTTTGCATTGTGTAATCGTAGGAGTGGATTTTATTGGGGATTTTGTATAAAAGGTTTGTTTAAAGTCAGGCTAAGATTCCTGCAGAAGTCTGTCGACGGGATGGGAATTTATCCCGTCAACAAATTTGTGTATTTTTTGTGAATGATAAGTGAACCCAAACCAAAGATATTGATAATTAGCGCATTTTTTAAGAATTAAAAAAAGTGTGCTATTGTTTGCGTTTTGTCCGTCCGTCCGTCCGTCCCGACCCACTTCTACCGTTTTGAACTACTTCTAGGGGAATGGTCCTAGAGTCCTGGAATTTTTTGCAGTAGGTAGCCTATACCTTGAAGGTGTGCCGGACGGCCATCAAATTTCGCTGTCTAAAAGGCCTTCCCCCCACGAATTAATTCCTGAGATGCTGTTTTTGAAAGTAAAATGTGCATAGCTTTTACATACGACAACCAATTGGTCTCATACGCATGCTTTGAGTAGTGTTAAGTGAAACTTTAAGAAATTGGGGGGGGGGGGGGGTAAACGCATGTTCTACCCTTTATGGTATTGTAATGAAAGGTCTCATCGAAATAAATTGGTTTGTACAAAGTATAACTTTCCCGTGCGACTCTTTTTCGAGATCAGTGAGCGACGGGGCCTGGGGTGGGGGGGGGAGAGGTTAAAAATTAATTTTATCTCTCATCTAATGAAAGAATTAATTTCTACCAACCAGAGCCCTTCTCCTCGACCTCTTATCGTGATCGGGTATATTCCCTCATACCTCAAGAACGGATTGTCGGAAGAGGGTACTCACAAAGGGCGATTGAGACGTCTGCAAGAAATATATCCATTGGCGATGTCAAAAAAAAGCTATATTGGTTTAAAAAAATGCGCTTTATCTGCACAAGAGTTATGCACAATTTATACTTGTTTCTCATTATTTGTGAAGTTGAACTGTAAGTTTAGTAATTCCATTTTTTATGTGGGATAAAATTCTCTAGCATCCAGAGGCGTGTAGATTTATTTTGAGCAGAATTTTGTTTGATTAGTATTAATTAATTAATTAATTTAGAGTTGGAACGACATTATTTTCATCAATATATTCAAACAATTCAATTCGTTTGAGAGTGGTAAACCAGACTATCAGGTTTTGATGTTCACATTATAAGTGAAGATAAAGAATCAACCTTTACGCAAGGTAAGAGTTATTCAAAATTATTCACTGAGCTAGTCGTGGTATTAATTATTTCATCACAAAAAATTAATTGTTACAATACAATTCGAGATACAATTTTTACCAGTGCCGTAGAAAATAAAATTACAAGGGGGATCGTTACAGTCTTCGTTATTCAAGCTAATGCTTCAATGTTTCTGACATAAAGATGCAGGTTTCTGCATTCAAATTTGTCTTTTGTGTAGGTAGTAAATGAGGATGTTCGTGCACGATTTATGTGATGTTTCATTAAAGGCAAGCGATTGTAGACACATGATGAGAAATAACAATTTGGGTTCTGTGTCACCATGTGGTTATTAGATGTGTGTGGTAACTCTTTTATTGTTTCAAGAATATATAACAAAGGAAAAGCATTTTAGATCGTTGTAAGTACTTGAAGAAGCAATTGAAGGTAGACCAGCACCCGCATCAACCGATCAATCATAATGAATTGTACGATGGATGGATAATTGTTATAGGTACCCACTTTAATGGCAGAAGATATCACTAAAGAAAACAATGGGAAACGGTGACGCAACAATTCATTTCTTCATCAGATCGTCTTTGGTTTTGAGCAGAATTTCTGAGCATCAAGTGATGGATTTTTGCTGTGAACGGCAAAATGATCGTATATCTGGAGCCATTGTGGATTGAGCTGATGCGATCAAGAACAAAAAACATCAAATAAATGAGATTGTACAAATACTTTCCATGTTTTGACATTTTCCCATCATGTTTTATCGACATTTACCAGATAACGAGATAAGCTTAAATGAGAGAAAAAAATCGGTTTAATTACTTAGGTGTAGGTACCCGTAGACTACGTATGTTAACACAAAATCCTTTTGAACTTGAGTTTCTAAAAGTTTGCGTCTTCCAATTTTGTGGAAATTTAAATCGAAATGAAAACACTCGCTTACTGGTTTCTACTTACGACTGAAAGAAATTCATCCGGATTGTGGTAACAGTTTTCATTTTGATCCCGATCAGTATAATAGTCACTAAAGGTTTTGCAAACGTTATTAGTACTTTTGTACACGATTTTCACGTAGACTACGGCGAATAGCACACCAAGCACAAAAGCGCACTTCATCTTATTGTTCTGCCATTCACGTAGGTAAACTAAACGGTAATGCGTTGTTTTCATTTGTCTACCAAAGATAAGATCTGAATCTTTGATCAACCTTTTACCTTTATGCATCATAGCCACACATCGACTAAATGACCTTCGTTATTACTACTTATATAAGAATTTAAAAAAAAGTAGATACCTACTTACTCCGCTATAATACAACATCAATTATTTATGATGAATTTGAAATTTTCAGACGGCCGGCAGCGTGAGAGGAACCATTTTGCCAAATCGTACTCCGGCAAGTTTCGGCGTAAAAAAGTAGATAGGTCTTCGGCCCATTTACGTTTCATTACTCTTTGAACCCTTGAAGTTTCGTCGATATAAAACATTACGAATGGCCGATAACGATTAGTAAACATTTGTCATCAAAAGTGGACATAAGATGTAACATTTGTCATCAAAAGTGGACATAAGATGTAACGTAATAAGGTTAATTGTGTTGAAATATAGGTACCTATAGGCAAAGAGAACATAAGTATAGGTAACTGTACACGCTATAAATGCTATATTTGGACAATTTGTAGCGTTTTGATCGATAAATGGCCAACCTTGAGCCTCCATAAAAATTGTTCAGTTTGGAATTTTTCCAGGTGGACCATTTAGCGCTCCAAAGTCTATTCGCAGGGGTCGTTTCATCTGCCTCGCCACGGAATCTGTACGTGGTCTGATCCACAAGCCTAATGTTATGCAGGTGATATTTAATCATCCAGTGCCCCGTAAGAGCACCGGTGATCCTCCTATTTGGCTTACTATTCAATTTTAGCAGAGAAGACCCGGATTTGCCGATGGGCCCTGTTAAAAAGGCCCCGGACTATCTGAGTCCGGTTACTTGTTAAGTTGCTACCACCGAGCCTGGAATCGACTGGTCACCCAAACTTTAATTCTGACTCTGACAACAGAGGGAGCAATTCCTAGGGTAGATTCGGGTCCGACAAAAACCCCGCACCATTGCCTTCACGAGCTATCACGTCCGCCCTTTCGTTGCCCCCTATTCTGGAGTGCGCTGGCACCCAGATCAAGCTTACCCTATTAAACTCGTTTAATCCATCTAGAGTTCGCCTGCAATCAAGCGCCGCGCCGTGGCCGATCGGAGCCCGTCCACTGATACGGCCGTAAGGGCCGCCGCGGCTTGACTGTCACTGCATATGTATCCAGTGTGATTGATTTTGCGTGCCCAAGCATATATTTCTTTCATTATTGGAGATAGGAAAATAGTGTAAGAAAAAAAATACTTCAATTTCTGATAAGGCTACATATTCAAAAACCAGTATAAATTGTGCACAACTCTTGTGCAAATAAAGCGCATTTTTATATCCGAAATAGTTTTTGTTTTGACATCACCAATGGATATATTTCTTGCAGATGTCTCAATCGCCATTTGTGAGTACCCTCTTCCGCCAATCCGTTCTTGAGGTATAAGGGAATATACCCGATCACGATAAGAGGTCGAGGAGGAGCGCTATGGTTGGTAGAAATGAAATCCTTTCGTTGAGACCTTTCATTAGAGTACCATGAAGGATAAAACTAGTTCCACTCCCCCCTCCTCCCCCTCCACTTCCACCCCATACTTTGATAAGAAGTAGAAAACGGTTCCTTTCGTTGAGACCTTTAATTACAATCCAATGAATGATAAAATTAATGTTTAACCCCCCCCCCCCCCCCCCCCACGCTCACTGATCTCGAAAAAGAGTCGTACGGGAAAGTTATAGTTTGTACAAACCAATTTATTTCGATGAGACCTTTCATTACAATACCATGAAGGGTAGAACATGTGTTTACCCCCACCCCCACCACCCATTTTCTAAAGTTTAACTTTGGCACCACTAAAGGCATATCTGTATGCAAAATCTGAGACCAATTGGTTGTCGTATGTAAAAGTTATGCACGTTTTACTTTCAAAAACAGCATCTCAGGAAATAATTTGTGGGGGGGGGGGGCATTTTAGACAGCGAAATTTGATGGCCGTTTGAAACACCTTCAAGCTACCTACTGCAAAAAATTCCAGGACTCTAGGACCATTCTCCTAGAAGTACGGTAGAAGTGGGTCCGGACGCACGGACGAACAAAACGCAAACAATAGCACTGTTATGTTCCTTTTTCTCTTTTAGTTTTTATTTAGTTTTATCGCCTTCGAAACCCCTTTAGAGGTTTTATTTTGGTGTTAATTTAGGTTAGGGTTCATATTTAATTGTAGAATTAGGGATTTTCTTTTGGGTTTTGTTGGTGGTTGTATACCAGTGGCGTACCATTCTCTCTAGTATTCCTTTTATTTCTTTTGGGATTATAAATTACGTTTGAAATTCGCCGTATTTTTTTTCCTATATCTATGATGCCGTTTTTACCCTCTTCCTATTTCTTTTGGTTCTTTAATCTTTTCCCTATAATATTATGCTCATTTATCTTTCACCCTGCTTTCTACGTTCTGTGTCTCTTCTTTGGTTTTCTCTGTAGCGTCCTCTATCGTTTGTTTGCTGTATTAATTTTTCCCGTTTATTTTCCGGCCTTTTTGATATTTCCGCTTAGTGTCCGTTACTTTGTGATTTTTCCCCAAATTTCGTCCTTGATTGCGTGCTCGTCTTCTTTTGTATTATTTTCGTGGGCCATTCCAATAATTATCGTTCTGTTGTGAGTGCATGAGGTGCAGAAAAGTTTTATAATTTTTAATCCAAGCCTAATTATAATAATAATAATAAAAATAAAGCTTATTTAATGTTTTGTAGAACAGCCTACATACATAAGTCAATACAAAAGCAAAATAAAAATATTACAAATGTAAGAACAAACAAAATTATAACAAAAAGAACTCTGAACTGAAAAATTCCTCATACGAGTAAAACGCTTTATCAATAAGAAATGCTTTAGTTCTTGATTTGAATAAATTAAAAGGTAAAGCCTTAATATTGGGAGGAATATAATTATACATTTTTATATTGATATGATCAAAACTGTTTTGCGTCTTACTTAAACGGCAAAAAGGGACAAATGCATTTAATTTGTTGCGGGTGTCATAATTATGAACATCGCAATTTTTAACAAAATAATGTTCATTGCGCTTAAGAAAACAAAGACAAGTAAAAATAAAAATAGATGGAAGCGTTAATATTTGGTGATCAATGAAAGCTTGCCGACAATCATCTCTATATAATTGGGATTCAGCCTCCCTTTTTTTAATCTCCAGAAGCTCCAAGAAGTTTTATTATTGCGAGCCGCCCATAATTTGGGGAATTATCGATTTCTTAAATCACGCAGTTTGATTGTTTCACGATTATTTATACAATCCTTTGGTGTTGCGCTTCCGTTTCACCGTGTGAGTACCCTCTTGTGATTATTTTTTGTACATCCTATATATTTTTTTGTAGAATTGTCATTAAATCCCTGTAGTTCGTGGCACACCGGATGACTCTTCTTTAAGGCCTCCACCACCTTGTAAGTATTTTTTTGGTTTGCTTGTCGTTTTGCGTGTTGTTATTTTTCGTTCTCCTTTTAGGGCCTTCTTTTTTGTAATTCACTGCACTGGTGTCTACCTACAATCTTCAACCTAAGCAGTCCCTGGACGACCACCATCAGCCGGCTCCAAAGATAAGAAGACACCGTTTACCCCTCGTTTCAGTTTCCCTATTTAATTGTTCCTTTTTCTATTCAGTACTTCCCCTACCGCTTAAGTTTCGTTCCTCTATTCTCCACCCTATTTTCCCCTTGTTCTCTACCGTCCCCTACTCTATAACGTTACCCTTAACATCGCCCGAGGACCCATAGCAATATAGACAGCAAGTATTGGTACTGTCACTCAACAAATTGTTTGCTATATTTCCCCTCTTGTTTCGCCCCCAATCATTCCCCACATAAAAAAAAGAATGCAATCAAAATAAAGAAAAGTAACACCATAATACCAACCATTATAATTACTGCCATTATGTAATGTGAGATCTCGCAACAAGCAGTCAACATAATTATATATATTTTCAATCGTTGGTTGTTACCCGTTATGCAATAGTTCCTCCCTAGCCCCCATCCCTTTTTCCTCCCCTAGATTATTTTTTTTCCTCAAAAAAAAACAACGCAAACAGTTTGCCTTTATAATTACTTAATTGAGTCACAATTTTGTTTTATATTTTATTTTAAGTCTCAGGCGAATTCGTATTTCTTTCCTTCTTTTTATCCTTAGCTTCCTCGACCACCAGAGGGCTACTTTCTCATTTTTGAGCACGGCTCCCTAACAGGGAAATAAAAGTTAGTGGTGCCTTAAATTTTACCTCTTACCAGCCTAGTCTCTCCGTGAGCAGCCGCAGCCGTGGTTAGGGCTAGTCGTTCTTTGTTTCACGATATATTTTGTGCCTCCTTTTACTCAGCGTCCTTGACCACGTTACAGCACATTTTTTTTAGTTAAAAAATGCGCTAAAAACAAGGGATATAAAAACAAAATAGCATCAGAAATCAAATTATTTTTTTTTTAAATAGAACGGTTACTTTTTTCTGTAATATTCTTCAAGAGCATGAAATTCTCTTCACAATGATATCAAATTTATTTATTTTATTTATTTATTGTCCCTCTTGTTCTAAACCCTCAACAGGCTTACGCCCAATTACAGAGTGACCCGCATAATGCTTTTTAGAGGTGCCCCTGCAGAAGGTCTCACCTAATTCGGAGTAACCGGCAGAATGCTCGAAACTGATCTAAGGAAATTCCCATCTCTGCCACAGATGAAAAATTCACCTTAAACCAGATTCGAGCACCCGACCTCCGGATTTATAGCCCAACGCTCTACCCCTGAGCTATAAGCCTATGTTATAATTACCTTAGTTAGAAATTAAATCTGCAGTAAAATTTTAACAAAAACAAAAGAGAGTCATTGGATATGACCGGCCATTTGAATAGATTTGTTACATGTGGCCTATACGTCAACTGTGCGAAGTTTGAACCCAATCGGCCCACGCGTTTGGCAGTTATCGTGTTCACGGACAGACGGACACCATCGACCCCCCTATAAAGTTTGCATCGTTTTGCTCTGCTGCTATCGCCTTGCTCTGTCGCTTAATAATTATTATCTGTAACTGCTTTTCATTTGTTTTCTTCGCTTCCTGTTGTAAATGTTATTACTGCATTGGTTCTAAACATATTACTGTAGCTTTAATTTCTAAGGTAATTATAACGCATTTGATATCATTGTAAAGAGAATTTCAAGCTCTTTTAGAATATTACAGAAAAAAGTAATCGTTAGATATAAAAAAAAAATCATTTGTTTTCTGATGCTCATTTGTTTTTATATCACTTGTTTTTTTGAATATGTAACTTTATCAAAAATTGAAAGAAGAGAGTATTTTTGCTTCTTCCACTTTTTTGCTATTTCCAATAATAAAAGAAATATACGCTCGGACACGCAAAATCAATCACACTGTATATGCTTATTGCGGTAACCTTTACGCATATTCTAATTCGCGAACTTGAGCTTTGAATGTTCACGGTTTCGTCGATTTAATTGAATTAATTTAATTGCATCGTTGAAGATACACTTGGATTTTGATCAATTAATTAATTGTGGCAAGAGCAAAGCGTTCAACTAAATTGAGAGAGAGAGAGAGATGCCATGTTGCAAGCCTAAGTTATGCATGAAATGCAAGAGGAAAATGCTTCAGGAAGTGAAATTGGTCAGCAATATGAGGAAGCCGGAGCAGGTCAAGAAAAATCTTGTGATGCTGAAGAAGCTAGCATACTGAAACCGCAAACAACAAATTAAAAAATAAACGGGAACTTATCCCTAAAAAATATAACTGACAAAACCAAATTCTACTCTATTTTTTTTTCACAATTTCCTAATCAATCTAACCAAATATCCAAATAATTAATTGTGAGTGCAGTGAAATTTAAATTTATTTTATTTTTTTCAATATAGTCGGTTTATTTATATGGGTTTATTTTTATCAAGCAGAAACGTGAGACGGTCATACTCGTGGTAGGGCTATTACACTGTGCACAGGTCATGATGGCTAATATCTTTGTCTTACCGCCTAAGTTTTCTAAGCCTAAAACGACCACCTGTTACAAAACGTATCCTGTTACAAACACACCTCCCGGTTTTACTGATCCTATTGTATAGCACCAGGAAGTTTTTGATAGTTGGACATATACAGAGTGCGTCCATAACCTTCACTTAAGCTAATAAACAATTTTCAGTCCTATCGAGATCGACTTCCATTTTTGCTGGTTGTCTTCGTGTCTTTAATTCCCTCTAAATATACCCATTTAACTGAAAAAATAAGGTGGGTAACCTCTAAAACATGCTCATGATATACACAGCGACATACACAAAGATTCTAATAGCTGTTAGTCAGAAACTTTCAACATTGCAGTAAGGAAATGTGTATATATTTGTTAAAACACATTTTTATCCAGCACCATGACACATTGTAGGCAGCAGATTACCATTTAAACAGTAGCAAAATGTCACATCAAATCGATTCTATTGCCGGGCTACACTTATACTAAATTTAGGGAACACACCAATCGCACAGTTCCAGAAAGGATAGCGTTAACTACCTCCAGTAGAGACAGTGTGGTACAAGAAAGACCGAGTAGTTGCAAAACACATCTGCTGCCAGTGCCACAAAGGGAGTTTAAACGGTGTTGAACACAACTCAAGCCAACTGAGAGTTTGTTTAAGATCGGATCCAGTTCCCGGACAATTTTGACAAGGTCCTCACGCGATACCGTTCCTAATCTGTCTATCAGGCATCGCAACAGTTGTATTAGTTCGCCCCTGTCCCGGTTGACAATGGGAACATCGGTGCACAGATTGAGTCGACTTAACGCAGATCCTAGTGCCGTGACGATTGGCGGTAAGTCTTGGACCGCGATATCTCGAACACTCCCTAATAAGCATCTCAGCACACCAACGAGAAATCTAATCGCGTCGGTTGTATTTTCATTTTCATCGCGTGTATTCGTGCCTAAAGTAATAATTTTTGATCTCGACTTGTCTTAATGAAGAAGCTTACCATTTCCAGGTAACTGTTGACTTTCGGAGTTGATTATTTGCAAAGCAACGCATACTACAAATACTAGATACCTCATGATGCTAGGTATTTGGAATAACACAAACACTTGGTTCCCTCCAGCTTTTATACTACTCGGCTTCCAACTGTTAGTTTCGTAACTGATGTCATAAATTATTTCTAGTATTTAAAATTAAGCTACCTATTTGTATCAATAAGTGATAACGTTTGGTATTTCGGAAACTTTTCATTTTAATGAGACAATGTTAGTTTTGCTATCAAGGAATGTTTCCATAACTTCAGTATCTGCATTAATTAGCCGGAATATTTGTCGTGCACATTTTGGCCTTGCATGGTTTTCTTTACAGGACAGAAAAATAAATATAATTGCATAACCAGAACCGCCCCCAATTTAATTACGATATGGGAAGATTAACGGAGACAAAACGGAGGAGATGAGGTAAAATTGTAATATATATCCGTTACAAAACACATATTACGTAATATGTTACACATTCTAGTTTGAGAATACAGTGTAAGGTTAAACGGTAGAGCAGAGGTGACACATGTTCTGAACTTAGATTTCTGGATACAAAATAGTTTCCTTTTCATCTCTGGTATATTATTTTTTTATGTTGCTTTAAAAGTGTAATACATGGCACATTATTATTATTACTTAGATTTGTTTAGCTCTTTGCAAACACTCACACGTTCGCAATATATTAAATTAACAGTGCTATATCTTCACCGATGTTGAGCTTCCTCCATGTTACTAAACTGGTGAAAAATAATTAAATAGGTGGCGATGCCGGCCACCATCTGAAAAAAGTGTTCATTATCGTTCGGCACTCACCGCCCACTTACCGAATGTAAAAGTGTCCAGTCTAATGGAAAACATCCGAAGATACAAAATTTGAAATTTTCAACGTAGACTTGCAACGAAAAGAGCTCGACCTAGAAAATATGCACGCAACTAAGGGTTGAATGGTTTTTTACCTGTAGATACGGGAGGTTCAGCTTCCCAACCGTTTTCTCCGCATTTTCAATGAGTTGCACCGTTTTTTTGATCTATAACAAACTCTGCAATAGAATCATGGCATATATTGTGTGTAACAATACAAGATGCTACCTTTTCTTTAACTTGGGATAGCACATCGACTAACGCTACTATTTCCCCAACTAAAATTATTGACCACATTGCGGGTTTTAGAAATGAGTGTGAACACAATAATCAAGGTAATCCTCTTTTGGCCCTCGCTGTGACGCAGGTAATTTTTTCGTAGCGAAATATAACCCAGCGTTTAGTTAATCTGTCCTTGACCGAGTATGACTCCCATTTATACGCGCATTTAACGTCCTTTGGTTGCACAATAATTCCTTTTATGGTGTAATAAGAGGCACAGTCCCTTAATCTCCTTCTAGATATTAATTGATTCTACTGTAAAACTATCGGAACTTCTGTTCAATTTAATAGTTCGTACTAAAATTTCCTAAGCTTCTATTATGCCTGAAAAACGCAGACGGTTGTCTTTAATCGTTAATTCGTTTGCTTCCTGCCCTACTAGACCATTCCCAAATCCTGTTACTTTCACTTTGGGTAATTACCTTGAGATAAGCACACGGTAAGCTCAGGCAAAGTAGAGGTGGGTCAGGGCGACTATCGGGGTTCTGGTACACTAGCACAAATAAAGAAAAAGAGAAATATAGTAAGAGTAAACCGGATAAGCGCCACTTTCCACCTCTTTCAAAAGAGAGGAGAGAATACTTACCAAAAGGAAGAAACAAGGCAGACTAAAAGTTCCTTGTTCTGGTCTTGATAAGTTAAGGAAGTAAACTACTTGATAGGGGTAGAACGATAATTGACGTCACAATCGAGGGTAATTTAATAAATGATCCCAAAATATTACAAATAAGACACTGTGATATATAGATCTGCAATGTGAATATTTAAATTTAAATTAATTTTTAATAAGAAAGGGACCAACACGTAAAGTATTAATATCAAAACAGGCTTCCGCAGAAAACAACGGAGCTATAATCGAACTTCTAACAAAGGTAGTAATTACAATTCGATTGTATCGAATACCAGTATGTAATCAAACGTTATATTAAGGAGTCATCGAAAAATTACCTTTTGAACTACAGGCGGTAACAGCCTTGTTGAGCTCAAGAAGGGCGCTTTCTGTCAAATATGTAACAGACAACACACCAACAAACAAATAAAAGAAGTAGTGAATAGCGCGGCACATACAATATTGCGTAAGCAATTCTAACGTCTGACACAGTGACACTGAAATTTGTCGGTAATGTAGAAACATCAATCGCGTGACGCGAGCCAATACTAATCCAAACAAGATGGCGAGTTCAAGTAAAAATCCGATGCCATTCACGTACTGTGGTAAGTAATATTCAAGTAGATACAACATTAAAGGTAATACAAAAGAAAGAACGATGAGAAACTTGAGAGAAAACTGAGGAAAGCTTGAGGGAACATAAAACCCTAAACAAATATATCAAGAAAAATTCTGCGTAATCATCTAGCATATCTCGTACTGTTTATATGCAAAAACAAATCCTCAAAAACGTTTTAATGGAGCACAACCGCAAGTATCAAGAGAAAGCACTCTAAAAATTATATGGTGACAGCCAAAACAATAATCCCTTTACAGGTAAGACCCGAAGTCAGTAAAAGTAATGGCGTGCCAAGAGAAAAATTTGCATGTCATCAATGCGGAGGCAGGACCTCCACTGAAGGTAAAAGAAATACAACTGCGCGCAATACTAAACTTAAGAAGAGAATTAGAAGTACCATGAAAATCATTCGCACGACCTCCATCGGCGAAGTAAAGAACTATTGTTATAAGAAATCTATACCGCTTAAATGGCATCTATCACCAAACTAAAGAATCTACTACAACAATTAACTTACATCTTAAACTAGTGGATTAAAAATGAAATGAAAACAAAAATAAAATAACTATGTATATTTATATTTCTATTTTCGTTTTTTATTGTTATATTGTTTCTTGTCCTGATGAAACCCCTTACGAAAGTGAGCGAAACGTTGACTTTTCGTTTAAGATTGTCACAGTATAATCCCGAAAGTCGCTTGCATAATAGTGACTCTGGCCGTGGAAGCCTCCGCTCTGACGTTGCTCTAATGCATTAAAAGATGCAAAAAGGACAATTTTCAATTCCACCGAATGCTCACCTATTTATACTTACAATTCCACTACTAACCAGAACCCCTAACTTTACCATAAAAATTTCGAAATTTCAAGATAAAAGAATCTCAAGAACTATAAAAACTTTTGGAAAATTCTCACACTCCTTGCTACTCCTAATCGAGGCAGACTGCTTAATGATAAACGATCACATTTATTCATATACGTGTTATGTGAAGTAAGAATGGACAATTTCCCATAAAATGTAGGTTGTTCTGTCTCGCGCAGATTCGAAGAGATCTCTTTATCAAATTGAAAACTGCTTCAGCCTTTCTGATGTCAAGGTGAATTTGGTTGATAATCTACTAATTCATTGGATCTAAGAATTTATGAACTGCAACACGGTCGACACTCGTAAATTCCATGTAAAATCATGTTTATTTCGCGAAACTATGACCTTTTTCTTATTACGGCAATGACACTTAGTTATTTTAGAACGCCGTGCATTGCTTCTTTCAACCACAACATTCTTATACCGAGCCTATTGAATTTAACAACTTTTATTAAGGCGACAAATACACTTTATACTTAGATTCTCGAGTCGTATGCGAGTAATACTCGACCCCTTTATTTATCTGTTTTACTCTAACCGGGCGATACAATTTTCGTAACTGGAAGAACGGATTGTTATTGCGATGGATGTCTGCCACTATCGGCACTATCTCCCTTCGCGCTTTAAAATTTAGCTAAGGTAGGTATTACTACGGCATCGTGCGGATATAAAGTTCCTCACTGAAGAGGGAAATGGTGCGAAACTTACCCATGGGACAATGTACTGTATTAACAGCCCATGTTATTATCAAGTAAAATATTAGTCGAAACAGTTTTATTGAGTTGAGACTCGCTCAGAATGATCCAAAGTTTAAGACCAATATGGTTGTCGCATGTAAAAGTTATGCACAGTTTTTTTCACAAGGAGCAGAAGTGGGCCCGGACAGACGGACCGACAGACAAAACGCAAACAATAGCACTTTTTTTTAATTCTTAAATAAATCCACTAAACGCAGTAATAAAAATTGTATTGCAAGTTTCCTCTTTGGCGTAGTAGAACAACAAAGTGTTCGCCATTAAAAACCCCGTTAACCACAAACTGTGGCAGCAGTGAAAATCTTGCCTGCTTGCATTCTACAAACACAAAACTATCGTCATCTGTAGAAGGACATTTTTATATGAGGTACCGTTATTTTATTTATGTAAAAAATGAAGGGTGGTATATCGTTGTAACTTACAATTGACTATAGTTTAAAAATTATTAAGGAAGATTTGGATGGTATGTTCTTAAAGATAGCCGTCTTTTGTATTGCATGTATTTTATCATCGGTGAATTCATCGATATCGGAATTGTTTTTAATGAGAGTTGCTTTAATTTTATTAAAGAAAACAATTATTCTCGGTATATACCTGCATTGTAGAATACTCAGAACGTGTAACGTTCGAAAGTTATTCGCAGAATGTTTTACTGAGTGAGATACGTACCTCTGTACTCATTGGTATATCACGGCTTGTTTATACCTAACGGTGCGTAATTTTACACGAACGAACGAGTAAATCCCGATATTCCTTCGCTTAATTACCAGAAAATTTGTAACGAGCTAAACCCCTAATGCCTTCAAAAAATTTTTCAGATTTATCCCTACCTCTTCTTTTTGAATTAATTGATTAATTAATTTAAAGATGGCTTCATGTAATTAAGTGTACCATTTTTTCAAAATAACAAATTTGTCCCCACGTTTACACGCGAGTTTCTTACATACTGCGGTAAATAGCAATTTAAAAGAACGCCTCGTATATACACAATTACAATGTATTTACCGACAATTTAATTTGTCTACTTTTGAGTGAATAAATAAACCGCCGATGAACATTAATAAATCTTACTTACCAGCAAATTCAGTGAAGAAAAGATGTGGATCAAGA